ATTTTGTGGCCCTAATTTTTTACTCTGAAGTTCCTCTAACATGTTAATCCTGATCTGTTTTTGAGGCCATAGTTTCTAGGGTTTGATTCCATTTATATCCCGTAGTGAAAGCGCACATAAAATCCTACTAAGTACAAGAAGTATAATCAAAAGAAATACTCATTATACAGAAAATGAGTCATTATGCAGTTCTCATTAACAGCGAGGCGGTTAGTTCAGGGGTTTCCAACCTGTGGGTCTGGCCACCTCCTAAAGGTCACCAAAAAAAAGGGTCATGAGATGATTAATGCAAAGGAAAGAAGAAAACAATTTAATTTCTATAATTTGTTTTTTAGGTTTGTGTGAAATATTGAATAATTTTACCTCTTTGGACCTAAAATAGTTATCTGAGAAGTTCAAGGGTAAAGGTGTCAAGGTGCTGCAACTACACACAGTTTTTGTGTGTGATATTTTAGTTAACTGACATAAAAATAAAAACTAGACTAAAAATTAAGAACCAAATAAAACCTATAATAACTCAACAACCACTGGTTTAATTCATAGCAAATTTGAAGAGAAAAAGTACACAAGCATTAAATGAAAAGTAAAGTACCTTAAAACTGTAATTAGGTACAGTATTCAAGTAACCGCATACTTTCCACTACTGATAATATTGTAAGGGATCACTGTAAGGTTGGTCGAGTAGTGAAGGGAGGAAGGAAGGGACCTTTAAACTGTTGATTTCCCTTTTTTTTGTTCAGCAGTGGATCAGCGTATTTACAGTGAGGATCAGCTTCGCCCAAACCGAAGAAAACAACAAACTATATAAAAATTAAAACAAATGGACAGCAACTGAAGGAAAAGATAATTATCAAAAAGGAAAAACTCTGCTCTGGGCGATGTCCTTTTTAAGGTTGGGACCCTGGCAGCCAACAATCCCTGTGGCCTGCTCACCAACATCATCCTCCAAGAGAAACCCTTAAATCCTGCTTGTATATCCTGTAGCTCCTCCTACCCCCGGAAGCTATAATTAAGGAGTCAATTAACTTATAGCAGACATTTATCTAATACCCAATAGATAACTTTTATAAGTCAACAGTGGACAAAACAACTCAATACACAAGTAAACTAGATTCCTAATCTCCCAAACATCTCCTAAAGCTCCCCCTTATCTCTACCACACTTGGCACACTCCCACAGGAACCTGACCATAAAAGGAGTTCACCTGAGCAGGGACTGGTTTGCCAGTTCCTGAGTTCAAATCAGAAGATGGCCAAGTGCAATCTAGAGGAGAGGTGAGAAACACAAATTAATAAAATAAAAAAGTTAAAACCCAAATATTTTCTCAAGCTTTCCTTCAAGCTCTTATGTAACTCAATGTAAATATAATACAATTACCCTTAACATGTTTCAACCAGACATCTGTACTAATTACTAAACCCCAGACACCTGCTGGCTATATGGTATGTAAAGGTGACTGAGGTGGACGAGCACTCTGTGTTGTGCTCAGTTACAGGTCTTGGGGCAGCCACTAATCATTTTGCTCCTTCATAGTTTGCAGATATTTTGGAACAAATATCGGTAATTCACACCAATACAACACCACCTCAAGTACTTTAAAACACAAATATTTGTTAAGAACTCTTTAGACTTCCACTCAGTAGGGGCAGCAGTAGCACTGCTCACTGGCACGCCAACGTAATAAAAAAATAAAGTATATATCTTCTCTTATCTTATCTCATGTTTTGACACATCTCTATTTGAAGCTTGCATGTGAAGGAAACCAAACCAGAACAGCAGTGTCTCGTATTCATGTTCTGAGTAATCTACAGTATGTGGTTTTTAGTTTCAGAGCCTTTTAACCTCAGTGCAGCCAACACGTACACTTCCCATCATGTTAGTGACAAGGTTAAAAACACTTGGTAAAGGAAACATGTTACACGTTTGTAAATATGATGACCTTTATGACAGTGATGAACAGTGATTGCTTTGTTTTTACTAGGAATAAGAATGTGAGGGAAGGATTCAAAACTAAACACCAGCCCTTCATCTATAGTCTGTCGTCTATGTATCATATGTATATGTACTAATCATAATAATTCTCTTAGATATCACTTACTCTTAAAGTAAAGTTGTACAAAGGTATGACAAAATACAACAGGAGAGGATTTTACAACACAGGGTGAAGTCTGTCTTTATATCACTTAGAGTCACTCACGGTCAGAGTTCAATAAGCTTGAGTAAGTTAGGACCTTTCAAGGTTTACAAAGTTAGAATTTAGATCATTCACTGATGACTGTCTTTGACTTGTTTTACTGTACATTTGCATGAGAACGGGTTGACCTTTGACCCACACTGAGGAAACATTATGACCTTTTATAAGGCAGTAATGTGATGATTCAACACCACCACAGAAGTAATGTGGTTTAAAGAACCCGTGCTAATCTATTTACTTCTCTGTTTCTCTTCCTTTCTTCTTTCATACAGAGTAAATGGAGATTTATTTTCATTAAGAGTTCTGTAGTAAAACAGAGATCCCTTTTTATAATGGTAAAACGTTACAAGCGAATATAAACAACAAGCAAACGACAGTAAATGACGACACAAAACGACAGATGATAAAGCGCTGTGGTTGGTACAACTGAAACCTAAAATGTGGCTATAGGAGCCTCGACCAGACATAGACCAGTAGGGAGAAGATTGGCTATTTATATATATTCTTAATATATTTGGATTTGGTTAGATTCCACTTGAAATCAATGAAAAAAGGTGATGGACACAATACCACATTTGTCCACAGGGGGCGCCAGAATCAACAAAGCTGGAAATTCCTTGTTGCTTTTTCAAGAACAGTGCTTGAGTACTAAAAGTAGTCTCCTTATTTGCCTTTCACTAGCCCTTGGCAATAAGACAATAACAATATTTCATCAATAGCGACAAGACAATTGTTCAATAGAATATCGATAGCGTGCTGTGAGTGAATCACCTCCACGTCACAAGTCCACATGATGGAGAGGTACTCAGTAACAACCCCAAATGACCAAACATTATCCTTATTACCTGTCTGCCTTGATAAATAAAGTGGTCTTTAAAATGATCAATAATTAAAGATATCAACTGTAATTGAAACATTTTATCATGATACATTTTTCAGCCATGTTGCTCAGCCTCGTTTTCCAGCACTGTTTTTGGTCAAGATCAACTCAAGACGAAGGTGACGGAGTAGATCGCCTCGACCTTCAAGTTATAAAAGTCAGTTTAGTCTTTTTTTCATTCAACACCTCCACAACACAGACCTCACATCTCCATGCTTTGCTTTTATTATTGATTTCCATATCCTTTTGTTTGCTTTGGGGGAGTCCAGTTTGAATTATTTACATTTGTTTGTTTGCTAGTGTGTGTGTGTGTTTGTTTGTTTGTTTGTTTGTTTGTTTGTTTGTTACATACATCTCATGTGAACTCGGTTCTTGTCACATCCCCTTTGTGACAATTTATGGAGATAAAATGCATAAAAAAGGGGGAAAAAAGCAAAGTAAATATACTATTTATGATATTTATTTATCCATGTTGTATCAAGCACAGGTGTATGTATGTACAGTAGTACCTGCAGAAACAGGTCAAACCTGTAGATGACTACGCCAGAAGAAATATTTACTCTCACAACAGGAAAGAAGGGTCAGTGAGCTCAATAGAAATGTCTGCAAATATACACAAAGTTTGAGTTTGTGAATCATCTCAGCTTTTAAAAGTTAGACTGAAATCACCATTTTACATGAATCACAAATACAGTATATGATAACAGTGGGACCCTGTGGCAATGTTAGTCCCAAGTACTGCACAGAATACCCTATAAGAAACAGCAATACCACACAACGATCCTATACTAACATATATGACATTTGTAAAACAAATTAAATAAAAAATAAAAACATTTTCTTAAAAAAACAATTGATTGGTTAATGTTTAATGGACTTGTTATACTACAAGTTGTGGGACAAAGCTATACTGTACATTGGCAGCCTGTCCATTAATTTGCTTTTTCTGTTATCCTCTTTTTAAGAATAAATGCAAACAAACGTTACAGAATAGTTTTATAGAAAACAATACACCGCCGGAAAAATGTGGTTCCAGTAGGATAGATTGACATTTAAATATTCACTCAAATATTCTTTGTTTTCTTGCCAATAGTTAGAAGAGTAGATCAATACCACTTTTTTATGTGTCTGCTAAATCAGCAGCCAATTAGCTTATCTTAGCATAAATTAGACACATGAGAACAACCATCCTCTTGTTGTCTCTGTAAAGATGTGAGGCACATAACCAACCAAACTATTTCAGTTTTTTAACAGAATAAACAAATCAGATATTTAGTCAGTGAGGGCCGGGTACTGGTGGACGGACCAACATCAATTGTCTTAGTAAAGTGTTGGGCCACCAGAACACCCACAATACACCTTGGTACTGATTTGGAGGGATGAACACATTCTTCTGTCTCGGTCTGAACAGATTACTCATCTGACATATCACCTTTTTCCACATTTCTGTAGAGCCTATGGTTGCACTGAACTCTCATACATGCATCCCTTTATAATGAGGGGTTATTATATTACCCCTCTTTATGATTGTCAACAGACTGCTCTTGCTGATAGTCTCTCCACAGAGCCTGACTGGATGTTAATTACTTAATCAAATTGTGGAAGCATTTTGCACATTATGTTTCTCCACTCACTGATTCAGGAGTTTCCTTTTAATCTGTCTCTGTGTATTATATATGCATATAGCTGAGCCACACCCCTGCCTGATGTGGACGGACTGGAGTCTCTTTATGAAGCCTCGTTCAGCGGATCCGGAGAAAAAGAAAAAAAAGCCAATGATGAATGAATGAGCCACAAATAAGACAAATCTGTTGTTTATTTTACTGAGGACGGATCTTTAGTACAGCTGCTGTAAAGCCACGTGAGGAGGAGGGGAGAGAGGCGGAGGGGGAGGAGGGGGAGGAGAGTGAGGACGGACGGGACAGCCTTTGGTCCAGGCGTGCAGAGGATCACCACCTCTGTCAAAAATAGACCTGAGCACTGAGCGGGGCCTGGGGCGACAACGGCGGACAAACAGAAGTCTACCTAGGTTTTAATCTTTCTATTTTATTCTACTTTTATCTGATACCCCTGCCAGAGTGTTTCATAAACGTATATGATACAGTTTTATGATACACTTTGAGTTCTAAACTGCTCTTCGGGGATTTGATGTTTTTTTTTTTTTTTTTTTTAGTTCATTGGGGATAATATAAATTGTTTGGACTGAGCTGTAAACAGGTTGTTCCTCTAACAGGACCCAGACATGGAGGCGAACGGAGAGATGGAAATGTTGGCCGCAGCCAAACGTCAACAAAATGGAGATTTAAGGTATTAAATTATCTCTTTCTCTAATCGGTGTCAAGTGTAATGATTTTAAAAACAGAAGTAGTTCATATAAACCTCACTGTGTTATTCTCACACTTTAAACTTTTATTTTATAACTCCTCCAGTGACTATGATGAAAAGAAGAAGGAAGAAAAACCACCAAAGGTCCCCCAGGTCGGCCCCATTGATCTGGTAAGATCAGTTATCACACTGTGATCTCTTTCTGTCAGAATCAGGTGTTATTATGCTTTTCAAGCTGTTAATGTAGCTTTATTTTTCACTTTCTACTTTTCTAAAATAAAAGAGCACTAACGAGGAAAAGTGATTTTGATCTTATAAGCAGAACGGCAAGGTGTCTGTGTGTGTGTGTGTGTGTGTGAGAGAGAGAGAGAGAGAGAGAGAGAGAGAGAGAGAGAGAGAGCTGTAACAGGGTTCCCACATGTCTTAAATAACCTGGAAAGTTTTTCAGTCATGGAAACACCTTGAAATTGATTTTGACAGTTTTGTCCCGTGTATTTAAATTGTATTTTAGCCTGTGTTGCGGCCAAATTAATGTTACGATTAGAGGAAAACTGTAGTCGATTGCAGAAAGTGGAAAAATCAGCTGTGGTGAGAGCAACCAAGCAGGAAAGTGGCCCTTAAATAATGACCACCATTATAAGTGCCGTCCTGGATACTCCTGGAAAATTATTTTCTTAAAAAGAGTGGGAACCCTGACTAACCAGGAAAAGCTGTTTATGAGGTTAAAAGGTCAAAACTGAGGTTGCAAGACATCTAGAAGTGGTGTGATCTTACAAACATAACCGCAAGGGGGGTGTGTGTGTGTGTGTGTGTGTGTGTGTGTGTGTGTGTGTGTCACTCTCAATGTGTGTGTCAGTGTGTGTGAGGTAACAGGGGAAGCAGGGAGAGAGGATGGGTGTGCAACACATCCTCCTGTTGTTTGGGTGGACCCCGCCAATCCCCTGCTGTGAAAATATAATAGCTTCTTAGACTTTAAGCTTTGTCCCTGTTCTGATTGCGTGATTAAAAAAATGTTTTCCCATCCAGACAATCATGAGCATCCACGAACTGCATGTACTGATATCTGCTGTTCTCTCTTTGATCTCTGTCTCTTTTATGTGAGTAAAGTTCAGGTTTGCGAACGGCGTGGACATTCTGCTGATCCTAATTGGGACAGTGATGGCCATGGTCAACGGGGTAGTGCTTCCTCTCATGTGTGTTGTGTTTGGAGACATGACAGACAGCTTCATAAGTAACGCCAAGTATTCCCACATCAGCAGGAACAACCCCAGTGAGTTTTCAGTTACAGTCACAGGCACAAGTAATTACCTGAAATAGATCATTAAGAAGCAGTTTGTATAACACCTTTTATAACAATGTCTTTTGTTACCGTGTGTCTTCAGATTTTGCCAACCTCACGAAAAACAGCACCTTACAAGAGGACATGCAGGGGTAAGTGACCAGCATAAACAGATGATAATATGTCCAAAAATGTTTAATTTAAAGTTCATTGTTGTGTTTGTGAAGCGTTTCATAAGTGCAGGAAGCCCAGGGAACTTAAAAATCTAAAATTTCAGATGCAATAGTTGCATTAATAATTTACTTTGAACCATCTATCATTGTATTCAACTCAACTTCAAGTCATATGTGTCATAATACTTTTCTTCTTCCAGCTTTGCCATCTACTACTCCATCATGGGGGCCATGGTGCTGGTGGCAGCCTACATGCAGGTGGCCTTCTGGACCCTGGCAGCTGGGCGCCAGGTCAAACGCATCCGCAGATTGTTTTTCCACTGCATCATGCAACAAGAAATCGGCTGGTTTGATGTCAACGAGACAGGAGAGCTCAACACACGTCTCACAGAGTGGGTAACAGAGAAACCACACACACTAGTTGATATTTCTGGTAGTGTAATCCTGAGGTATAGCTGACCTGCATCAGCCCTGCTTTAAATGTCTGCAGCCATGTTACTGTAAAGTAGGGCCGCAACTTACAATTTGTTTAAAAATGTGCAGATAATTTAAATATTTTATTAATAATTTGGTCTATATAATGTCTGCAAATAAGGAAAAATGGCCATAATTTCCCAGAGCCCAAGTTGACATTTTTAATTGCTTGTTTTGTCCAGCTAACAGTCCAAAACTTCAATTTACCATCATAGAAATCTATGAAAACAGCAAATATTGACAATTAAGAAGGTTTTTGGCACTTTTTCTTTAAAGAATTACATAGACAACTATCAAAATTGTTGCTGAATGATATGAATCAGGTATAATATAACCCTTTATCTGAAGTTAAAACATTAAAATCAGGATTTGTTTCATTGGTGACACATACATGTTGAGGTACTCTAAAGATCTGACATTGGTGGACATGTTGTTTATATTTGCATGCACAGTGACGTCTATAAGATTCAGGAGGGTATTGGTGACAAGACGGGGATGCTGATCCAGGCCTTCACCACCTTCCTCGCATCCTTTATCATCGGCTTCAGCAAAGGCTGGAAACTCACTCTCGTCATTCTGTCTGTGAGCCCTCTGCTGGGCATTTCAGCTGCACTTTACAGTAAGGTAAGTATCCCTCCGTAGTCTTGTTCCTCTTTTAACGTTTGAGTTCTCCTTGCCCATCGTTCCTCACAGCCCTCCGCAGGTATTCTTTTTGACATTATGTCATCTACTTTAATAGGTGCTGGCCACTTTCACTAGTAAAGAGCAGACTGCATATGCCAAAGCTGGAGCTGTGGCAGAAGAGGTGCTCTCGGCTATTAGGACAGTGTTTGCCTTCAGTGGTCAGGACAAAGAAATCAGCAGGTGTGTACAGTTTGTTATATATCGCTCAACTGTGTGGAAAATATTCAGTGTTTGAGTTAAAGTCATTCATAGATCCGTAGTTATCATCATCATAATAATAATATTAATCATGATCATAATCAAATAAAAATTATATTTAAAAGAAAGCAGAATGTTTAAGTCATATTTAAAACCAAATAAGATTGATGGTTAATAGTTAAAATTCATATTGTGGTTGAGGTGAAATTATCAGTAGTTTGTAGGTGCTTTAGGTCAGCTACCCTGATAGCTTTTTCTGTTGTACTAATCTGACAGGAAGTTATGAGAACAAATGTGCCCTTTTTCTGTTCAACAAAGCAAAACATCTGTGCAGGGCAAATAAATATTGGGCTATAAAATGATCAAAGACCGAGGAAAAAGGCCCAAAAAGGCGGTAACTAGATAAAATCAATAAAAACCCCACAGAATTGGATTAGTGTTTTCTACTGATGTGATATTTGTTGATGCCAAAGGGCCCATTGTCGTTGCAATCTCATTTATATTTAACTCTAACTTTGATTGTGTCTGTGTGCCTGTTGCAGATATAACAAGAACTTGGAGAATGCTAAAAACATGGGGGTAAAGAAGGCGATGTCTGCTAACATTGCCATGGGCTTCACTTTTATGATGATCTACGTGTCCTATGCCCTGGCCTTCTGGTACGGAAGTACGCTCGTCCTGAGTAGAGAGTACACCGTTGGGACTCTACTCACCGTGAGTAGACACATTATGATATAATTTGTAATAATTTTTTGCCTTTAAGCATCTATCTTTATCTTTATCTTTATCTTTATTTATTTACATTTTAAAAAGTACTTTTGTATGATTTTTATGCACCAATGTACCAAGACAAATTCCTTGTTCGTGTAAAAACGTACTTGGCAGTAGACCCGATTCTGATTTTGAGACTCTGAAAAAGAGGGTTGGTGCAGCTAACACTGATTTGTGTGTGTGTGTGTGTGTGTGTGTGTGTGTGTGTGTGTGTGTGTGTGTGTGTGTCTTAAGGTGTTCTTCGTGGTGCTTATTGGAGCATTCACTGTGGGACAGACTTCTCCCAACATCCAGACCTTTGCCAGTGCCCGGGGAGCTGCACATAAAGTGTACAGCATTATTGATCATGTAAGGAATGCAACAATTCTTTTCCCTGCAAAGCACACATGTCAAAAGATTTTTATTCATCTTTTTGCCGCTGGACAGTTGTCAGTTTGTATTACTGAACATGCACCTCTGTACTCGGGCACTCTGGGAGGCCGCTTTGATAAAACTTGGAGTCAGTAATGAGATGTTGGATTTTGCTCTAATTGGAGCACCTGCTGTTTGAATGAAGATTTCAGGTCACTTGGTTGATATTGCACAGCTGTGGCCCTCCCTTTCCTGAACTTACTGTGAATGTACTGTGAGGTTAAAAGTTTTGCAGATATTGCACCATTATCACACATCTACGATGGCTTCTTTGTCATGGAACTCATCAACAGAACAGTTAAATGTTAAATGGTCAAATAGCTTCAGAAACACACAGCAGAGCAGGTGTGTTTAACTGGAGGTCTTATAGGGTAATTTCAGGCAGACCGGCCAGGCCTGTGTTCAATTTACAGTGCGCCTGTTAGCCCGTCACTATGACTGCACACATTCAAATTAGTTTACAAGCAAAGATACAGAATACTATACTCTACAAACTACTGGTTGAGTAGTACATCTGTTTACATATGAACACAAATTAGCATGCACACAGCCTCAAGCAAAACTGAAAAAGTATGAAATCTCTTCTTGGGGCTTTTTGGTTTTTCTATGCTCCAAAACTGAAACTGAAACTTCGTTTCTCCCGCCAACTGGACTTATATATATATATGAGATTTAAAACATTAATATAACAGCAAACAACAATTTGTAATTGAGTGATGGTGTCCTGAGCAGAGAATGAAGTCACACTTCCCTTGCCTGTGTTTTTATCCTGTGTGTGCATTTAAATGTATGTAAGTCTATTTGTGTGCCACTGAGGGGAGTGTTTGAAACGTTTTGTCATCTATCGTCTTTCTCATCAGTGAAATAAGGATTTATTTTGACCAAACCAGACAGTAGCAAGTGAACATGCAGTGATACACTGACTCATGTGCGACACAAAGAGATTGTGTTGTGAGTCACTCCCTCTTCCTCCCTCTCTTGTCTTGAAGTCTGGAAGTAGTACCAAATATTTTAATTAATAATTAGGTAAAAAAATTAGGGCTGCTTGCAAAAATATACATTCTGTACAAATTATGGTAGGAACAGCTTTACCGTACATGTGCACCCACACACATATATAATGGCACTGTTCTGCACAGTGAACATGAACACACTGATACACAGATGCTCCAACTAAATTCTCAGTTCACTGGTTTATCCTTTACGAACGACCGCTCTTAGCGAGCTGAAGTGAACATACAGCCGTGTTTCAATTCACTGTGTGGGACTAGTACGCAGTCAGAGCACTGCACAATTCGGAGAACAAAACAGATTTTAATGAATCAGTACACCATCATTATTCTGCTTATGTTTGACCTTGTGGGTTTGGTGGGAGAGGCTCAGCGGAGTGATATGAGATTTCGCCTACTGCAGCTTTAATATCTGTGGACACCTTGCTTTAACATTTTATACCTCCCATTTGTCTTTTTATTGTAAAGCACATTATGATGTCTTATCTAGAAAGGTGCTTTATGGATAAACCTTACTCTCTAGACTCTAATACCAAAGGGTGAGGCCTCCAAGAGCAACATGAAACAGTCTCAAATCCTCCAACAACACAGACCTCAAACTTTGTCAGCAGCAAGAGAAGGCAGAGTAGCGATTTGTGTATTTAACCACACAGAGAGTGGCTGTGAAAACACAAAGAGCTATGGAAATAAACATTAGCCTTTTTAAATACCCTCACCCTAACCTCGAGGGTTACAGCCTTCCTCCTATTGTCTGTTTGAGGTTATGATAAGAATCAGGTTTTTCATCCAACTGTGGCCAAACAGAACAAGGCTGAGTTGTTGTTTTTTTATAAAGTTATAAAGTTGTCCACTCTTGTCTCAACAGAAACCAAGCATCGACAGCTTTTCAGAGGCCGGTTTCAAGCCTGACTCTATCAGCGGAGACATAGAGTTCAAGGATATCCACTTCAACTATCCTGCAAGGCCAGATGTCAAAGTATGTTCCCCATAGATTCTGTTTACTGAACAATATATATCTCTATTATATTACTTCAAACTGTATCTCATAACTCGCATTCCTATCACTTTTAGATATTAAATAACTTGTGTCTGAGCGTGAAGAGTGGACAGACCATTGCCTTGGTGGGTAGCAGCGGCTGTGGTAAAAGCACCACGATCCAGTTGCTGCAGAGGTTCTACGATCCTCTGGAAGGATCTGTAAGTAACTTCATTCAAAGGATTGATTCAGTATTGTCGTCATATCCACTAGTATTAAAGAGAAGTTTTAGGATTTACAAGATATAAGATATCTTCTCATTAGTGGATTTATTTAATCCTACATGTTTTTTTTTGTTTGTTCCCATTTACCGTAAGTCATGTATACACCGTGTCACAGCTGGTTAGTTCTCTGCTATTGGTTTTCATTCTTTTTCCAACAAAATGAAAATCAACTTGGAGTTTCTTGCTTGAACTCTGAATATCAAGTCTGCATGCTCTGATGACACTACAGTGTGCTGTGTGAAAGATCATCAGAAATTGTCGTAAATGGAAAATGCAACGACATCGGTATGATGCTTTACAGTGTACCGACACATTGGACTCAAGTACATCTGGATACTAAAATACACTAAAAGAGTTAAGAACTGCACCTCATATGCTTCAAATCGTGTTTTCTCAATGAAAGACTGATTGAAGAGAAGATTGAATCTCTCATGTCTGTCCGGTAAATAAGAAACTACAGCCACGAGACGGTTAGCTTAGCTTAGCATAAAGACGGAAATCAGAGGAAGACAGCTAGCAAGTGCTTGTGATCACTGTGAGGTTGCCAGGCAACCAGCTGCAACGTGTTAGTTAGTGGGCTTCAGCAGCACTGGTAGGCTGACTTTGTTAGCTTTTGGCAGGACCAGGCTAATTGTTTCCCCCTGTTTCCAGTCTTTGTGCTAAGCTAAGCTAACTGGCAGTAGTTTCTTTATCTATTGTTATTATTTATCACACAGACATGAGAGTGGTATCGATCTTCTCATCCAACTCTTGGCAAGAAAACAAATAAGGTTATTTCCCAAATGGTCAAATAATTGTTTTAACAACAAGAGAGGAGATACTGTTTCAAATATATATGGCTTTGTTAAAATTTAATTAAATGCTGCGTCTGTTTGGCTCCCACTTTTTAGGTATTTATTGACCGTCACGACATCCGTTCTCTTAACATCCGCTACCTGAGAGAGATGATTGGAGTGGTGAGTCAGGAGCCCATCCTCTTTGCCACCACCATAGCTGAGAACATCAGATACGGCCGCCCTGATGTGACGCAGAAGGAGATCGAACAAGCTACTAAGGAGGCTAATGCTTACGACTTCATCATGAACCTTCCCGATGTACGAATGCATTTATGACCTCCTGTCCTCTGGGCTTATCAAGATCTCTGTCTTCCACTTGCTAATTGTTAGACTCTTATCATTGAGCAGAAGTTTGAGACGCTGGTTGGAGACCGAGGGACTCAGATGAGCGGAGGACAGAAGCAGAGGATTGCGATTGCTCGAGCTCTGGTCCGCAACCCCAAAATCCTTCTGCTGGACGAAGCCACATCTGCACTTGATGCTGAGAGTGAGACCATTGTGCAGGCTGCACTTGACAAGGTACAAACACACACAGATACATGCTATGAATAGGATTACTTCAGTACTCTGGAGTTGGATTCAAACCCATGGCCACTACAGGAAGGAGCGGTAGGTGAGCTACCAGGGCATGAATCGGATAAAATAATGTGATCATACAGCTCCTCTAGACTTTCCAAATTCTATGTGAGCTAATGGACCACGTTCTGATCATTTGTGATCAGGGCTCAGAAGTATCTTTTTCTCAGTGTCCCACAACTGTCCTGAATTCTACTATCATCTGTCCCAAACTCAACAACCATTGTCCTAAATTGAGGTTCTCTTTTTCATTTTACATAATGAATATAGTTTAATAACAGAAGTTGTGCTAGTTGTTTCCTGCATTATACATATATTCAGCTTAGGTGTTTTCATTATTCCTTTAGTCACTGTTTGATCAATAAATGAATTACTGCAAAATATAATACAAATAGAAACTTGTCCCTTATTGATATAGAGCAATGGAAATATACGTACACACATTTTTATTATTTAGCCAAATAATCACAAACTCACTACAGGGACATCGTATATTTGAGTTTTACAAAGGGAGGTAGAAGATCAAATGAAGTACTTAAATATTTACAAGCCCAAACAAACTATTTACATACAAGACACAGAAACACCCTAATCCAGAGATCCGGAGAGAAAGAGTAAGAGAGAAGGTCAAACGTGCCCCACCTACTGACTGCCTGAGGAGAGGGAGAGACCCTAAACGCTGTTGGCAGAAGAGCTGTGCAGCATGCATTGGAAATGAATTACAACACAATATATTTGAATATATTCCTCGCCTTGTCACCTGAAGTTCTGAATAAGTCACTGAATTTGGTATCGGCGTATATTTCATCCCATATGCACCAATATTCCACTGGTATATAATGCAAAAAGTTTTTATAGTACTGATGTTAACTGTTTATTTATTCTTTATTTTCTCAGTGTTTTTTCTAGAATTGGTTGACAGAGTAGCCTATATGTTTAGTTATTTAACATGTTAATTTAGTTTTGTTAACCTTAAATATATAAGTTATATATATAGTATAGTATATAGTTATATACGTTATTTTTTAACAAAGCAGCTATCTGAGTACCTTTGCAAAGTCGGTCGATTTTCATTTCTAGCTCAAAAATACACTTTATTGGCCGCCACTGCGGTAATCTGTGAATTTATCGCCTCTAAAATCGATATTAGTCTCAAAAACCCCATAATTAAAATGAAATATATTACATGACTCATAAAGGGAATCATTTGATTTGTAATCATACATTTATCTACTGTCCCAGAGCATTTTTATTGTCCCTGGGAGAATGGGACATACTTAATTTTGAGACAAATGTATTCACTTTTTCACAGTCATTCCTTTTCTAAAGGAACAAATTGGGGCCAATGTGCGTCAACTGATGCTGTAATACAGAGTGTGGAGACTATTACAAAAGCTTGGTTGTGACAAATATTGGATGGATATCCATGGTGCTCAGTCGATGGAAGGACTTTTGTGATCCCCTGAGTTTTCCAGTTGCGCCACCAGCAACTCAAAATTCGACGATGTCTAATGCTTTGATTTTTTACCAAATATTTGCTAAACCAATAGCATCAAATATTGGTATGCTTACTTGCTATAATAAGATGTTGAACATGGTAAACATTACCTGCTTGAGCGCATATTAGCAAGCTGATGTTAGCATTTAGTTTAAAGCGCCATTGTGCCTACAGCCTCACAGAGCCACCAACATGAACATAGACTCTTGATTCTTGTCTGTACATAAATAAACATTTTAGCTCCTTTTTGTTAACGTAAGAATAGAAACAAAAATATATATCTTTGTGTGCAGGTCCGACAGGGTCGTACCACCATCATTGTTGCCCACCGCCTCTCAACCATCAGAAATGCTGACTTAATCGCTGGCATCCAGAACGGTCAAGTTGTAGAGCTAGGGACTCACAGCGAACTGATGGAAAAAGAGGGAGTCTACCATACACTGGTCACCATGCAGGTAACATACACATAAACACTTGGACACACCACTTGGTTGAACTGGAACTGGAAATGGTCACTCTTTGATATTGTTTGTATTTGTGGTTTCCTCCTGTTTATCCTTACTACAGACCTTTCAGCAAATAGAGGATGAGGAGGCAGACAGCGAGCTGTTTGAGAGTGAGAAGAGCCCATTAGTCAAGTCCCCCTCTAAGTCCTCTCTGCACAGAAGAAAGTCCACAAGAGGCTCCTCGTTTGCTGCCTCAGAAGGAGATAAAGAGGAAAAACAAAAGTTCAAGCATGACCAGGCAGAAGAGGTGAGCTGTGGTGCAACATCTCTGGGGTTTGAGTGGCTGGGTCAACATTTGCAATAAAGACATCTCGGAAGTTAAAGATCTCTCCAACTATCTCAACACATCACAAGTTTGGTTCCAGTAAAAATGTGTTGCATGTGTGAGGTTATTATAACTGTCTTCTCTTGCCTCTCTTTTAGATCCATAAACAGTATCCATAAGTCCCCTCTCCCCTCATTTATTTGTCCTTGCTATCGAACCCTTAGGCTTTGGATGGTTTGAATGGTTATGATAGGGTTTACAGATGGGGGAGGGGGCACAAGGTCTCATTATCTCATTATATGCTGGCGATTTATTATTATGTTGTAAAAAGGTCAATACCAAATATTATGTCAGTTCTGAGGTACTCAGATTACAAATTTATCTCAAAGTGAACTTTTCCCCTAAGGCTATCACAGTTTCCATTCACGATCATATCTTTAAATATCTAGGTGTGGTAGTGGGCAGGACCATGTCTCAACTATTTAATCAGATTTTTTCCCCACTACTAGATTATACTATGGTTGAGTGATAGGCGGCCCCATCTCCCTATCTCTAGAATAAATGCATCTTAAATTAATTTTTTGGTCTGATCCAAACCTTCCTTATCTTGATTAATATTGTATACGACTCCTGATAAAATTATATCCCATTTTATCTGAAGAAACTTGAAATTAAAAAAAAAGTGACATAAATACATGAATATTTCAATTCCACGAGTATCATTAGGCTTACAATATTCTCTCCTTATTAATGCAGTCTGTTAACCCTGATGTGATCCTGCCTGGGTACAGATGGAACAGGTCTTGTGCCTCCTGGGCAGATCTTATATTTTCTCCCCTAGCCATGCCTCTGAACTACAGTATGTAGAAGGTAACCCTATTGTAACACACAGTTTAAATATAAGATTGGTAAAATGGGTCTCTACTTGCTTCTCTAACCCCTCTTTCCCTCCACATTTCCCCACATTCAAGCAGTTAAGTACTAAATTCAGCCCCACAGTCTCAGTCTCTTCCCAAAGAAAATAATGGGAGAGAGGCAGAGAGAAAGTGTGACTCAACTCTTTCTCCCCCTTTCTGCAGGAAGAAGATGTTCCCCCTGTGTCGTTCATTAAAGTGCTGCGTCTAAACGTTGCTGAGTGGCCGTACATTCTAGTGGGAACCATCAGTGCCATAATCAACGGAGCAATGCAGCCACTGTTCGCTGTCATCTTCTCCAAGATCATTGTTGTAGGTTTCTCCCAGTGGCTGTGAACCACAACAGATTAATGTTTCATGTCAATGTTGTAGAAAGCTATAAATTTAGTAAAAAATGTTTTTTATCCTCTCAGATTTTTGCAAACCCAGATCCAGAAGTTGTGAGGGAAAAATCTATATTATTTTCCCTGATGTTTGTTGCTATTGGAGTTGCGTCCTTTTTCACCATGTTTCTACAGGTATGGGTGCACACACACACTGCACGCTGACTTCCCTTTCCTCAAAGGAATAACTTGACCTTTTGGGAAATACACTTTCCTGCAGAGAATTATAAGAGAAGGTGTACTCATGTCTTCTGTCTGTAAACATTTAACAGGGTTACTGTTTTGGTAAATCTGGAGAGACTCTGACCCAGAAGCTGAGACTCAAGGCCTTTACGGCCATGATGAGACAGGTGAGAGCAACAAACTGAAATGAGAGACGTAGATGATGTCATTTTTTCAAGATCAATCAAGAGTTTAAAAGAAGTCCAATTTGACTAAACCACATACACGCATTAGGATTTGTTTTTGTGTTAAACTGTTAATAAATGATGACCTAGCATGTTTTTCCAAACATAATCTTTTATTGTTGATTACTTAGTAATTCAGGTTTAATCTTTTCAGGCGCTTTAACCTCTTAAGCACCCGCCTCTTTTTTTAGGCCTCTGCTCGAAAATTACATACCTAAAATTATTGTCTCTGCAACTACAAGGTCTATTTGAATAATTTTGGTGGCAAGGAACACTTGTGACACTTGTTCAGATGTGTTAGTATCAGTATGTATGTCACTGGCTCAGACTAAATTAAGATGGCACACAGCATAAATAAAGGATTTCATTTAAGCCGAATAAAAATTCACACTTTTACAATGAATGTAAAACTACTGTGTAGCATGAAGTATCAGAGCACTAGCAATGGAAATGTGGCGAGTGGGTTGACTTTATGACGCTATACAGATTTTGATATTTGATAATTAATTTACTCTGTGTTGGAGTTGTGTTTGGTGTGTGTAAATATGACTTATATGTGCTTGTAGCAGAGTTTTTCCTGTTTAATTTAATGTGCAATATGATTGATGATTAGTATAGTGTTTCACAAAATTATTTTTTATGGTCAATGGTAAATGTTTTTCCCTGTTTTCTTGTAGGACCTCGGCTGGTTTGACAACTCCAAAAACAGTGTTGGAGCGCTCACTACAAGACTGGCCACAGACGCTGCCCAGGTGCAAGGGGTAAGACTCAACAGCTGTCTCACACACACACAGACACACACACACACACCAACACAAAACAAACAGGTAGTTTGCCAAAGACCAGCACAACAAATCTTCTAATGAAATCCGCGATCTTGTCGTCTGCTTTGTTCAGGCTGCAGGAGTACGTTTGGCTACAATCACGCAGAACTTCGCCAACATGGGAACCAGCGTGATCATCTCTTTTGTGTACGGCTGGGAGCTGACCCTGCTTATCTTGGCTTTGGTGCCCATCTTGGCAATGGCTGGAGCTGCAGAGATGAATCTGCTCACCGGACATGCTTCCGAAGACAAGAAGGAGCTGGAGAAGGCTGGAAAGGTATGGATTCAGTGTGCCAGAGTAGGACTTGTTACTTACATTTAAGGACGAGCACCATTTGTTGAAACGCTGACCTTGAGATGTATAGTCGATGCCATGTTTGTATGGTTTGTCTCTACAGATCGCTACAGAGGCCATCGAGAATATCCGTACTGTCGTCTCTCTCAACAGAGAACCCAAGTTTGAGTCTTTATATCAGGAAAACCTCCAAGTGCCATACAAGTACGAGGAGTTACATTATTTAAATAATCTCCTTGAGATATATGAACAAAAGTATGAATGTATTTTTATCAATATCTTTATATTTATCCTTTCTCTTACTCTTTGTACAGGAACTCCAAGAAAAAAGCCCATGTGTATGGTTTTACCTTCTCCTTCTCCCAGTCCATGATCTACTTTGCTTATGCAGGCTGTTTCCGCTTTGGAGCTTGGCTCATTAACGAAGGAAGGATGGATACTGAGGGAGTATTCCTGTGAGTAAATAGACAGCATGACTTTGTCTTGATTAACAGCCAGGAGTTTTAGTTTATGACAGAGAAGTGTTTGCGTATACTCTTAGCATCTTAACATCAGACCAAAGCATTTTTGCTGGGAGGAAAGGGTGTTTTTATGGCTTTTAATAATTACCCTGGCCTGAAGCATGTGGCTGCTGTAACTAGATGGGCTCCAGAGCATGTAGTCACACTAGACACCTTTACCACTGGTGATTCAACACACACACACACACACACACACACACACACACACACACACACACACACACACACACACACACACACAGGTGTTTCAGGAGCTTAACATAACTTAGTATGTCATTGTTGGGAGGAGCCATTGTCTTTTATTCTACCTGTTACACAAAGAGGAAGTCCAAAGTTCGCTGCACCTTGAGCTTCTGAAGGAACAAGAAACTATAAAACACAGAAATATTAACTCCCCACCCCCATGGAGCATTTTTAACATGCACTGTAAACCCTCAGATTTTCTATGGTTTGAAATGTTAGCAGTGTGGAACAGCTATGCTAGTGCCTCTGTAAAGGTTGTACTTTGGCACAGCAGTGCTTTGAGCTAAATGCTCTTAGTTTAGTGTGTTAGCATGCTAACATTTGCTAATTAGCACTAAACACAAAGCACCGCTAAGGGGGATGGGAATGTCATTAGTTTTGAACTTATTAAGTCATAAACAAACATATTGGACAATGTTGACCTGATGATGGGGAGGAAAAGTGAAGGTTAACCAAAGGTATTACTATTTATTCTGAGTGCATTGGAACTCTGTTACAAGATGAAAGTTTACTAGTGTGAGAAAATAGTCCATGAGTCAGATTTGACTGAGGATGATGTCCTTTGATTTCTTTCTCGATGACTTTATAACTTATGAGGTTGGAATTGAGTCTCTGGGATTTGAACATATGTAAAGATCTTTGTATATATACCCACCAAAACGATGCATATGTTTCTCCCATACTGAGCTATGTTGCAGGGGTGCAGGGCTCAAAAGAATCTAAAACTGTAGACACCATACAGAATACAATGTTTTCTGCGGGTTCACAGATTTGCTCCGACTCCGAAAATGTGAAATAATCTGTCTGAGGAACCGTTCAATCAAAATGGCAGAGGACAGAATAAAGCTGGATTTGCTGTATATCAAAAGTGATAATTTGTCATCGCTATGAAAAAAAAAAAAGCTCTAAGTTTGAAAACGTTCTGTCAAAGCCAGCCTCTGACTCTTGAGGTTGGTCGATAAATATTGCGGAGGAAAATCGTCGTGTGAATTGGGTGAAGTGGACAATGAGTCCTGTGAAAGTCTGATGATGAGAAGACGCGTTAGTTGTTTCTATATTTTCTGTCTTTGTTGTTTGATGATGTATAGTCTGTATTCTGGTCCTGGCTTGGTTGAATCTGGTGTCTTGTCAGGCGTAATTGTCCTCACAACACAATAATACAATTTCATTCTTTCATTCATTCATTCATTCATTCATTCATTCATTCATATAATCTGAGTGCGAATTGACAAGAATGTAAACTGCTTAGTTTACAACCATGTGGTGGAAATTCTAGTTTTACACATACAAACATCTACAAACACATAATGTACACAGAAATGTTAAGGTGTCATCATTTCCTGTCAGCCTACTGTCCACTCCATTGACTTTTAAATGTCAAAGCCGCCACTGTAAATAAGAATTTGTTCTTAATATGATGATAATTGCCTCAAACCCAGTCAAAGTGGATGAACACTAGATTTATGTGAAGATGGATCCATATTATCACTATCCTGTTGCTGCTCTTTACAGCAGAATTGTTTCTTTTAGGTGTATATGTATTGTTTTATTTTCATTTTATTTTATTCTATCCTAACTTAATTATCTGTTCTGTGTGTGTAGCATGAAGTTACTACAACTTTCTTTTTGTTGTGCAACCTTGGTTGTATAATGATGAAATACATTACCTTGTTAAATAAAGTTCAACTAGAAAAATGAAAAAAAAAAAAAAATGTGAAAGGTAAAAGTAAGTACATTTGATTTCCTCTTCCAGTGTGGTTACAGCTATTCTGTACGGCGCCATGGCTATCGGAGAGGCCAACACCTTCGCTCCAAACTATGCTAAGGCCAAACTGTCAGCTTCCCACCTCATGATGCTGATAAACAAAGTGCCCGCCATTGATAATCTTTCACAGGAGGGACAGTCCCCGGTACATAACACACAGCCCCACACACCAAACACAGTTCATATATTACAGTTCTTTACACACCTGCTAACATATCCCTCTTCTCTCAAATCTCTTAAAACTCCAGGAGAACTTTAATGGTAACGTGAGCTTTGACGACGTTAAGTTCAACTACCCTTCGCGCCCTGATGTGCCCATCCTCCAAGGGCTGAATCTGAATGTGAAAATGGGAGAGACTCTGGCGTTGGTGGGGAGCAGCGGCTGTGGAAAGAGCACCACCATCCAGCTGCTGGAGAGGTTCTATGACCCCAGAGAGGGGAGAGTGGTGAGAAGAAAAATAACACACCCACGCTCTTAGTAATGCTTGTGCCTCTTCACCTACTGTCAGTTAGCTAATGGTTAGCTGGACCGTGTGTTTATGGCTGCTTTACAGCACTGTACTGATGAGCCAGGGAACTAAAGAGTATGAGCTCTGTGTAGCGTGTGTGTTTTTATCTTTACTGCAATAACCATTTCATTTTATCTTGAATGTACTGTTGCTGAAAGTCAAGGAGAACAGCATTTTTATTGCTATCTCCTGGTCTTTTATGTTATGACGAGGTCACTAATTTAAAGCCCCTCTCCAGCTGCTCTTCAGGTAGCAAATGTTTTTGAAATATTTTTATTTTTGCATCCCCACCAACTGGGATTTGGTGACTTATTGAACTTTTAAAGCAGTATGATCCAGTATTTTTATATTAACAGTTAGGGTTGAGTGAGCACGGATATCAAACAAGTAAAATGTGTCAATATCCGTACTCTTTAAAAAACATATTTAAAAAATTACAGACACGAATACAGAAAATGTAGTTAGTTGAACAGATACAGATAATGGTGTACTAGTTTGACTCTGTGGAGCTTTTAAAAAGGCCCACAACTTCAATGTTTTGGTTCCTGCTCACGGCTCTCATCAATCCAGAGCAGGCAGTTGGTGGAGACCAAAAAAGAGACGTTAGTTATATTGCAGGTTTAAGACGTACAAGCCCGACTACTCATTCTGCAATCATTTCTGCTACCATTTCCTCGTTCAGGTGCTGGACAATATGAATGTAAAAGAGCTGAACATCCACTGGTTGAGGGCCCAGATAGGCATCGTATCCCAGGAGCCCGTGCTGTTCGACTGCACCTTAGGCGAAAACATCGCCTATGGAGACAACAGCCGCTCTGTAACAATGGAGGAGATAGAGGCGGCTGCTAGAGCGGCCAACATTCACAACTTCATCGAAAACCTGCCGGAGGTAAACTGCTGGGATGTCCTGATGTGTCAGAAAAGCTCTCCTCTCAGGCAGGACAAAGCTTAAAATAAAGTGTTACCTTTTCTTCAGTAGAAAGTATTTCAAATGAAAGATTACACAATGCTTGTCTTATTATTAAGTGCCCTCTCTCTCTCTGTATGAGCAGAAGTATAACACTCAGGCGGGCGACAAGGGAGCGCAGCTGTCAGGTGGTCAGAAGCAGCGAATCGCCATAGCCCGAGCCATCCTCCGCAACCCCAAATTGTTGCTCCTGGACGAGGCCACCTCTGCACTCGACACAGAGAGTGAAAAGGTGGGTGTTCGTTTTTTTTTCCAGTCAAGAGTAACTAAATGCACCAGTGGGAATACAAAAATAACCCAAATTTGTTATTTTCATTAGATTTTACTTGATGAAAACGATGTGTGTAAACATCTGTCAAAACAGGAAATCTAATTTCAAATGCTGAGCATTAATTTCACCAATGAGGAGTTTAAGGTGCCATTTAAGTGTTTTTAAAAGGTTTTACAGCTTTAAATTAGATTTTATGTAGTTAAAATAAAAGAGGAAAAATGTAGTAAATGCAAGATTCGTCTTCTGAGTGGTCGTTTACAGTCAGGCTCTGCATTTGGTCAAATTACAGATATTTTCTTCCTTAAACTAATGGAAATTGTCATAATCCTTATCAGCCAACACTGATTGCACAAGATAAGATATAAATAACCATAAAATTATACCAAAGATTAAAGAAGAAACTCTCCACACGCAATAAAAGTTACAAGAATAGATTTTCACAATTGGGTGTTAAAGTGGAGCAAACGTCAGTACTTCCATCAGTCACGCACACGCACGCACGCACGCACGCACACACGCACACACACACACACAGAGTTAAGTGAAAATGCATAAAAAATTAATTGAACACGCAAGTTTCATCAAATCAGAGCTGTAAATATGAAACAGGAGCACGCAGACGTGTATAAATCAGCAGAGGAAGTGGACCTGAAAACTGAAAGATTCCCCAAATTTAAGTTTACGTGAGGTCACCGTCGTCATTCTGCTCTTTCCAGGTGGTGCAAGAGGCGCTGGACCAGGCCAGGAAGGGCAGGACGTGTATCATTGTGGCCCACCGTCTGTCCACCATCCAAAACGCAGACCGCATCGCTGTCTTCCAGGGAGGAGTGGTGGTCGAACAGGGGACGCATCAACAGCTGCTGGTCAAGAAGGGAGTCTATCACATGCTGGTCACCACACAGATGGGCCACGGGAGGGAATAAGAGGACAGAGAGAGGACACAGGGAGCAGTGCTACACCGATTGTGGTTTTTTGTTTGTTTCCAGAGGGCTGGATTAAACACTTGTGCCTTTTATCATCAATTCCCTGGTTCACATTCAAACATTTTTAGATTGAACAGCTTCAGTGGAACACTTGGGGTCTGAATGTGCTTTCGACTTCTGTACTACTGTTCATTAGTTGTCCACTTTATGGGCCTTTTTCACAGCAGATGTTTGGACATGTGACAGTAGGAAAAGCACAGGTGTAAATAATAAAATGAATGACTGAATTCCACTTTAGCCGCTTCAATTTCAGGTTCCTAGGTTTGTTCATGCTGGCTCACCGTCACATCTTAGTGGGACACTTAGTAACATAGTAGTAACACTTTTCCCACTATGACAAGTGAAAATATCTGCTGTGATAAAGACCCACGGTATCATACACTGTTCTGTTTATTCTTCTCCATGTTTGTAAAGATTCATTCACGTTGGCGCCCCGTCCTGCAGGGCTCAAGTATGCCAAGTTATTTTTTCTGTTCCGGTGGAGCTACTTGATGAAACAAGCCTTAGTTGTTAGTGATTTCTGATGCCAAATTCTGTTAACTGCAAACTGCTAATGACAAATGTACAGTGATTAAAGCTGCCAATACACTGAAGTTATTATACATCATAGTGCCTCATGCACTGGGATCATAGTAACAAATAAGTTGTGTTTTACTGTATTTAGGAAAATTCTTTAATTTATTGTCCTCGTGCAGCCTATGTTTTTCTACTGTCTGGGTTAATAATTGAACAGAAGTGCCTGAACTGTTTAACCCAGGAAAATTGCAAATGCACAAGATTACTTTTTGAAGAATATGTATTTTACATTATGTAACTATTAAAGTTCTATATTCAATTATTGAACCTCATAATTATTTGACCCATTTAACTGGAAGAAAAACTAAACATAAAGCAGATGTAAGTCTTTATTTCAGCTTTACTACATTTAAAAAATAACATTCTTTTTGTTCAGACTTAAAAATATTGAGCTACTTTTCATTTGAATATTTAAAGGAAGAACAATTGTATTCACATTTTGTCATAATATAAAGGTTTAGTCAACAATCAGAGGTTAGTATAAGGCTTTAAATGCAGAGGAAAGAAAAATCACAGTTTTTAAGGTTCAGTGATGTTTTACAGCAGTCATCCCAGTATATAACGTTGTGAATATTCAGCCATGTTTAACTTGACATACATGAGAACACAAATAAAGGAAAGCTGCATAGTGTGCGAAACAACCCATACGGGGCACTGACCATTTTGGTCATGTTTTAGTTCAAAGAACGACACAACAGTCAGTCAAACAAGTTTCACTGATTGACTGAAGTAATACAAAGCAATGTGCAGTACTTCAGCCGACTGGAAGGCAAATCTTAGTTTTCAAAAGGCTGAAATTTAAATTCTCACTTTCTGAGTAAGGAAATAAAAACAATAATGATACTGATACTAAAAACTATTTTCAGTGTCTGCCCAAACCCAAATGTCAGTTTTAACAAAAAACTAATGCCTCCTGGAGAAAACTAATTACCACTAGGGGGCACTATCACTGCAGAAAGACCCCCCCCCAAACTTTAATTTATTCTTCTTTGTGAGTACAATTTAGTCAAAAAAAAAATGCCAAGAATATAATGAGAAATGTTGTTGCACAATTCTCTATATTTTCATACTTAGACTGATCCAAGACAAAGACAAATCTTTTCTCTTTTTTTTTTTTAACATATCTAAAATATATTTTTATGGGTTTAATTGGGTTTAAAACTTAGGGCTTACAGTCAAAACAGCCTTATAACAGTTATTTCCTACAACTCTCCACCTTCAAACAGTCTCAGTCTTTTACCCGCTGAAGACAAACAACATAAAAACAATGCCTTGAGATTTATCGTCATCTTAGCTTACATGTGGATCAATACTGTCAGGATTTAAAATTAAAAATTCTCAATAATGAATTATACCAGAATCATGAAAATCAGAGAATAAGAAATAATATACACACCCAATACAACAACGTATGCTTAAAAAGTCTTCTTTAGCACTACAAGTAAGAGAAAAGTTACTTTTCATAATGCCAGAACCAGTGGATAGCACTCACCAGTGCTGATTCTGTACATTTGCATTGATCTGTGCTGAGAACAAACATTACTATCACTAGCTGTCGGCTATCAACTGAGGAGAGGTAAAAGGTATGTGTGTAAATTAGTGTTTAGCTACTGTCTGTTGGTGTGAGCACTTATAGCTGAGATGTGGTGGCAAGGTGGAGCATCTCGTGCAGGGAGCTACTGAAGTTGTTGAATAGTGTTGCGGCATCTGTCTGACGGCAAGATTTCCACGCTGAGATGGAAACCACAATCCTAGAGGGACAAAAGACAGCACAGAGTGGATATGACTGCAGTTGGTGACAGTGCAGGGAAGGTACACAATTAGTTACTTCTGTGGAATATAGTCTAACAACTATTGTACTAAGTACAATTTAGGCAATTACTACTATACTACTACTCTATTTTGGCTTGAATAGCGGCCATTTTAAATTCACCCTGTGTTTTGATCTGTACAAGTAGAATTAAGTTTGTTTGTTAGATAGTCTTTTGCTCCAACTGTCATGATTTCTGCATGAGATGTTACAAAGGAAGAAACAGCACGATGAGAGCAGGCTCATATCTTGTATGCTCACCGGTCATCTCTGATGCGGTAGAAAAAGCCATAGCCATGGTGCACCATGGGAGCCACGGCCCCCAGAACTGTAGTGTAGCCCACCAGACTGGATGACAGCACAAAGTTACCACCACCACCACTGCAGACACAAACACAACTCAGTTACAGGTCGACAAAGAAAATGTGTTCAGAAATGTCTGTATTGAAGTTTATCAAACTGACTTTTAACAATCCCTTAAACACTCAAATCTTCAACTGTGTCTCAATGTTGCAGTGAAACTGCTTTTACACAAGAGCCCGACCAATATGGGATCTTTGAAGTCGATACTGATATCCATATTTGTACAACTAAATTATTTTAAATCTGAATTACGTAAAGTCAAGGTTATAAATAAAAATGAAAATGCTGCCTATAGAATGTTTTTGTGCTGTAGTTTATTTTTGCATATCATCCAGCATACATAACAGTTAACAATACGGGCCTACTGACCTTGTTTTTACAGAGCTCTTTCTCCACACGCATTTTGATGTGTCATAGTAGGACACAGGCAGGTATAAGTAATTGAATTATTTTTATGTGAGCCAGTTTATGTCGACTCACTGGAATAGCTTACTGGGACATCGGTATTAGACCTTTGCTCACTATTCAAATGTATGCTGTGAAAAGTTCTAATAAATCGCAATGAAAATTAATTTGGGTGCAGGAAAGCAGTTTTACAAAACATAGCCTGTGGTTGCATTACTGAGAACATTTTCATGTACAATTACAGTTACATATTTATATTACCAGTAGAAATAAATTAGCTTTACAGACAGTACCTCTTTGCATAGAGGGGATCCATGAAGAGCTCTGGAATGGGACGTCCCTCCTCTCTGGCGATAAGATACAACCCAAAAAGATGCCTGTCAAAACCTGGCAGCAATGTAAAAATAACAAGAATGAATATCAGAGACATTAACATTGTAACAACATGTAACACAAATTAATACTAACAGTGACAATAATAAGTCTGTTGGGTTCAGCTGAACATCCTGTTGCTATAGCAACCCCTTACAGACACAAAGTTCCATAGTAACATTGTTACATTAACATTGTAGCTGACATTATTATAACCTACTAATTACTCATAAAATTACATAACATTAGCTGTTTTTTGTTATCAGCCAAAGGACTTTGAGATTCTTTTATGAAAAGTGCTTTACAAATAAAAGTTATTATTATACTGCTAATACAACAACAAGTAGTACTCCAGTTTTCTGTTGTTATTCTTTCACTTGAACTCTACTTGAATATGTACTGTATGTTTACTTGATTAATTACTCTGTAGTACTTTCTATGTTGTCTTTAAATTATGTATTGTTTACATCAATGTTTCCCTGCTAGCAATCTTCTTCTCAGCTGGTTTTTGTTGGTACATGGTTACGTTTCTCAGTGAGCCACCACTACAAATTTGCAATATAAGCAATACGGAGTCACACAAGTTGCTCCACAGTTCTATTAGTAGTCAAAAACTACACAATACCTTTAAAGTTATACTTTCACTCGGGTTCCTCCTGACATGCATAAATACTAAGGAAAACTAACAGTTCATTTTTATTTTGTTTTCTTTCTTTTTTTGGTTTTGAGCTTTTATTGTCTTTAATCGGTAGTGACAACTGAAGAGTGACAGGAAAGGGTGGAGAGACTGAGGGGATGACATGCAGCATATACAATACAAAAATACTATATTCACAGTTTGGCAGTTGTTTCCAGTAAAAAGGCCACCTTGTTTTTAGTTTATTATAGCTGTGCACCTACACACATAGAGAGGCTAGAGAAAAAATAATATCCATTATTGAGATAATGAGAGCTGCTTAGAAAGGGTGGTCAAACTATTGAACAGTATTATGTAGAAATATTGAGCAACTGTCTGTAAAGTGAACTAACCTTTTCCTTCCTGGGCTTCAGCCATCAGTTTGTTGTGTTTATGGAAGGCCAGCAGCATGGCTTTCCTCCTCTCATCAACCTGACAGAAAAATGTTTATGTACGATGTCAAATAGTCAAAGACTGTTTCAACCTCTTTCATTTGAGTGATTTTACCACAGTGCAGGGTTTCAGACATACACACACTCACGTTGCAAGTGGGGTCCATCATGGCTGTACACCAGTTCACAGCCTCCTTGGTGCAGGGTCGCATTGTCTCTGTCCTGCCGTGGTAGTACTTACGAGTCATTGCCGTCTCATAACAACTTCCTGGCCTTAGACAGTAAGAAGACACATTGAGGATCATTCACTTCATAGACTTCAAACATCAGTTTGGCATGGTCAAATAACCCAGTACATACGCTTTGTGCATTCTGTAGTAGGCCAGCTGCATTGCTAGTTGAACAAAGGTATCTGGATGCAGCTTCTTCTGTTTGATGGTTGCTTTTCCAAACGCTGTGAAGGCGTAACACACAACCTGCAGGTCCTGTGTCTGTGTATAAAACCAGCAACAGAGTGGACAGTCACACAGCTGTGACTATGGACAATTAGCATCAGGTCCTAACAAAGTTTGAATATTGGCTCACCGACTTCAGGTATTGCTGTTTGGCATGACTGATGTCACTGAGGACTTTTTTGTCCACAGTAAACACCAGCTCCTCAGGAGGAGGGATGGATCTGACTGCCTCTGAGCCCTAAAATGTGTGAAAAGAGATATTTGAAGCAAACTGTCATAAACAATAATTATTTAAATTAATGAGAGAACTGAGTAATAGTTCATATTTACCTTCCATTTGCCTTCTGTAGCTTTAATTTGCTGGTCCAGATACCAGCACATAGACACCAGTACCATGGCATCATATGGTGCATGCTGCAAAACAATTTATCTGGATCAATTATCTTTAACCGCTTAGGAAAGAATGTTTTTACTAATCAGAATTTATCAATTTTGGAGAGAAACTATCCAAAGTGATCAGCATTAAAATGTCCAATCTAAAAATGCACCATACAGGCTTTACAGTGTGTCATATAACTCTTCTAGCATGACACACACATACATGTTCAAACTCACATCACAAGTGGATCCAAAAGTGCCATCTGCAAACACGATTGAATTGTATGATTTGTCACCCCAGCGGATGGTAGGGTTGCCTGTAAGGGCTTCCAGAGTCACCTGTGTTCAGAATCACAACGTCATACAATGAGACACATAACTCACATACATAACCCAACAGTGAACAGCAATAAGAAATAATTACACTTATGCAGCTCCTACATTTGTGTAGTTATCTGGAGTGGAGTAGGGTTTGGTTTCATCCAGAGATATAACGAACAGGCTGCTTTGGATGGTCTCCAGGATGGTATTATTATGTGGATCAATGCTTATTAAATGCTCCCTGGCCTGCAGAGACAAGAAACAGTGAAATGCTAACAGTACTGATCCTAAAGAAAATGTTTGTAATACGAGAACTTTTTCACAAATGTAATCCATAATCTGTTTTAGATTTTATTTGCTGAGATAAAAACCAAAGTCTCCAAACGTGAGCACCCCTACCTTCGCCCAACGAGTCCTCTCCTCTGAGGTGAGAGCGCTCACTCCGTCTCCCTCCGGCTCTCCCTCACAGCACTCACTCACGTAGCTCAGCTGCCTACAGAGGTTAACACACATAACAGAAAACATGTTCAACATTTTCAGCAAGGTGACGAGGAAGCATCCAGCACCGCTAGAGTAAGACAGAAACCAGGCATCAAGGAGGCATCAGCAGAGACTGGAGAAAGACCTCAACATCAATAACACCGAAGATATGTGGCAGGTGAATAAAAACATCCACAAAAGCAGGAATATCCCCATCACGTGTGAGCCATGTTACCAGATGAGCTAAACACATCTTATTCTCGCTTTGATCTCCTCAACATGTCAGCATCCACAGCGGAGGTGACAAGAGTCAGAGTCCTGCTAAGAGTGAATATGTGTTATGCTGCTGAGCCTCATAACATCCATGGCCATGTGCTAAAAACATGTGCTAATCAGCTAATTGATGTCATTACAGACATTTTCAACACACCACTGTCACAGGAGACTGCTCCCACATGCTTCGAAACAGTCACCATCATTGTCCCTTATTATGTTTACGTATTTTAACTGTTATGTGTACAAATAAAAAAAATATGAGGTTGCACCATAACTAGCTCTACACTACATGCATGCTTACACACACAAAAACAATCACAGAGTCAGTGTAGCCAACTTTCTCACTAAACTTTTAAGACCCTCTTAGGGACTTTATTTCTTTCTAGCGACTTATACAGACCGCCTGGGAAAAAGTGGGATTGTATTATATTATATTTATATATCACATGCATGCTGCTCAGAGTAATCGCAATTCACAGCAGTTAGAGAGCGTTTGGGTCTCTCCCTCTCCTCTTGCACGGTGCGCAAGCAGTCAGTAGATGTGGCATGTGGGGCACGTTTGAGCTTTTCTCTCTCTCTCTCTCTTTGGATTTCTAGGTACTACGTTCCATATTTGGCTATTTGGGATTTAGATTGGTGTGTGTACTTGTAATCACTACCTGAGCAGTTCTGGAGGAGTGAGGATTTGTCCATCACAGACTGCATCAAACGTGAAGAACCGTCCGCGACACATCACTACCAAATGGGAGGGGCAAGGACCCTCACGCTCTGTGACACAGCACAAAATGCACATTACACAACAGTGATATGTCAACTGACAGTGGGCTAAAGGTAATAGATAACAGCAACGTTTATTCTACCCGTTTTGAAGTAGTTACGAATGGTGTCCTTCTTTACTCCAGGTACTTTGCAGGTGGAGAACAGCATTCTGAACTGGTCCATATCTAATGGTGTTTTGCCAGATTTCTGAGGAGCCAGCCTCTCCCTAAAACATGCAAGAACAAAAAATTACATATATACATGACTTAATGTAGAAATAGGAGCAAACTCTGTTTAACACACCACAAAAACACAGCTTGTGTCTTACGTGCGGATCAGGTTCCAGTACTGCAGCGTATGCCATGTACTGATACTGGCCCTCTGCAGATGAGTTCCCTCTTCAGGAGGCCAGCAGTGCTCCAGGTAGGGCGCCGGGCCACCAAAGTTCACATTCAGCTGAGAGGGGACGCGGACCTCCAGATATGCAGAATCTAACCACCATTCTTCCAGCTGGGGAATAAAAAGAAACAGCTAGCTAAGTAAAACAAAGCTTCATGAGTAAAGAGTACATCTGTACCACCAAAAACAAGACATTTACAGCTCAATTACACACCCAGTTCTTCTTTGTCTTGGCTCTCTGCAGTAGTTTCTGATGCAGCTCTTTGCCAACACCCTCTTGAAATTTATTCACAGTGTCCACTGTAGCCTTAAACTCCTTCTCAGATGCAAATGGTTGAACTGATGGAAAACATGGCAACGCAAAATCTGGTCAATATACACATTAAACAGCTTTTATTATTCACTGGTAATGCAAACCGAACATTTCTTACTGTTGTAGCTTCACATTAAAAGCATTTAACTGGCAAAACACGAGTTGACTTTTATTGTGAAGAAGGAAATACAATGTTTGTCAGTGAGCTCAACACGGACCGTTACTATTGATCAAAAAAGCTTCTACGAAACAAAACAATGGTCATTTTCAGCATTTTCTGACACCAGATCAGTTTTAAAAATTGTAGGGACAAGTAGAACAAGAAGGAGCAGCCACAGTGAGCTGTTAGAAGAGCTGCAGGAGACAGGCTCCACAGCTCCAACTTGTCAGTGTAGTAACCAACTCCCTTTACCCTGCTGTTCACAGACTCATGCTGTGTGCAGCATAAAATCCGATCATGATTGCTCAAAGAACGATGAAAAAGGTTAATTATTACCTGACTTCTTTATTACAAACAATAATAGTTTGTTTTGCTTCCCGGAGAATTCTGGGACCTGTAGTATTAAAACACATTTGCTGTAACTACAGTTGTCCCTAAATTAATGATTAACTTAAGGGGGCAGGGGGTAGAAATATTTACAAGACAAAAAGCAGAAGCAGCAATGAGCACTTCATGTCAAACTTTCTTAATATTTGCTTTATTTGGTTGTGTGGTTTGCATTGGGAAAATTTTGAAAACCTGAAACAGATTAGCTGTGTGTGACACAGCAGCTTGTACAAAGCTACTATCTTACCTGCATTCAGGTACTTTAAAAGGCTAATCTCTAACGATGGGACAGGCAGGGGCGGCAGGCTGCTTTGGTACTGGAAGGTCCGCTCTGGCAACGACTCTGACACATGATTAGCCATTTCTTCCTCCTGAAATACACAAAAATGTCACACTGCCATGAACCTGAGGCTGACATTGCCTTGTATCACTTGTATCACAAGCTTCATCATAGCTTGCAGTATCTGATGTTGATCTTGAGGCATTCGTCCTTCAGACTGGACCCACAACTGATACAATTATAAAACAAACTATCTGTAATAGTATTGTCCCAAATAAATTGTCAGATTGTATCAAGAACCATTAATCAGCCAGTCTAGTTTATATGAAACAGTTTATTCTGAACACTGAAACTGAAACTTATATCTTAAAAATAAAAATACTCTAATAATCTATAATAGTTACAGCAGAGCTCAACAATAAGGATTGTCCACTTGCTTGGGGTAAGTCCAATGCCACGTTGGGCTGACTTAGTACCTCTAGCAACTCACTTGCCCTATCGGGTAAGTGGTAAAAAAACTCATTGTTTTTGTTGATGCTGATGATGGAAGTAGTCAAAAAGTGAGCCAACTTGCTTTCCTTCTCATCTCTGTTGAGAGCTATTCACCTGCTCCACTTCAGCTCCATCAGTGCAGACAGGGGTGTGTACAGGGTGCAAAGTTAACTTTTTTTGTCCACTGGTCAAATGGCTAATGAATAGTCCAATTTTACCAGCCACATTATAGATTTCCATTGTTTCGTGTTTTTTTGGCTGGTTAGTGAAGCAAAACTTCCTTGTAAATATAATGTAGTTTTCTTTTTAATTATCCATTTAAAGCTACTAGTATATACCTTGTTCTGTTTTACTCCAATCTAATTGAAATATCGGTTTATACATATTTATGTGTAGCATAGGAGAGGGCTACAACTGCATTTCATTGTGCAATCCTGGATTAATTTAAGTTACATGATGACAATAAAGCTGAACCTTGAACCTCGTAGCTCTGCTTTCAACCATGGTAGCTAATATATATATGCAGTGGATACAGTCACTGACCATTCAAACAATACTAAACCCAATCTACTTCCTCTGAGGTTCTGTGATGGGCTGATCCCACACATGATACCTGAGAAAGTATAAACACTAGAGCTTTGAATTTCAGCGAGTCAAACACGTCTTTTTCTGCCAGCTGTAATAAAGTCTTGGTTAATAGGCTGCATAGTGTCGCTACCATGTTAATTCATAAACTCCTTTTACGACCACCCAATAGTGTTAAGTTAAGTTGTTGCTGGAAACTTGGCTTTCAGAGCACACTTCCATAGAAATACTGCCCACCAGCCAGCTTGTTGAAAAGCACGCAGGTTAAAAACAACTTTTTACTCGTTTATTATTAATTTAAACGAACCTAACGGCTGCCAGTTAGCCAACGTTAGCTAACGGTAATAATCAACTATTAAGCTGCGGTGAGTTAACGCTATGTCAACACCGTTTGTCATGTCAGGTTAAACTTTAAATAAAAACCTCACAGCTTTCAAGCGCAGTGCCTCTGTCAGCTCACCTTCTTCGGAATATGTTGAGGTTAACTTAACTGCATCCGCGCACAGCAGTAATATCTGTAGTCGGCTGGATGGTGTTGTCCGCCGCTCCTCACCTTTACCCCACTTAACGACCGCTCTACTGTGAGGCGGCCAGCCGGAAGATCTTACTGCGCATGCGCATTGTATTTGACCTACATTTGATCAGGTCCATAGAGAGGCATTGATAGGGAGCTTTTATACTGCAGAGAGGTGAGAGGTGGATTCATTTACAGGCTGTGGTGACAACTAATTTACCAGAATAGAGACAAGACCACAACATACACACGATGATTAACAGAGGTCATTTATAAAATTAAAATAATGAAGGTAGACAAACACATCCATTGGTCAATGAACATTTCTTTTTTTATTAATATTTTTGACAGACAGTACAACATATGTCACCATCACAAAATACAAGACGACATGTGCCTTACACCTATGTTTAACATTTGTCCTCTCATTCTACGACTGCCTTATATTCAGACAGACAACCCCTCTATTGACATCAAGAAGGATCCCCAGACTTGATTAAAGATATCCTCTCTCCCCATTACTCTGTAAGTGACTCGCTCATGTGTAGCCATTCTTGTCATTTGTTCAGTCCATTCCCTAAAGCAGCACCGTGTAGATGACTTCCAGTGTCTCAGAATTATTCTACATCCTGTTGTAGTAGCCTAACGTATCCATAGTCTTTGTCTTCCAGTCAAAGTGTTATTGTCTGTCAGCAGACCCAGAATACACAGAGCTGAGGTCTTGGTGAGTTCTAATCCGAATACATCATTTAAGAGAGTAACAACCCTTTCCCACAAATGTGCATTTTTTTCACAAGAATACAACATGTGTACCAGAGTACCCACTTCCTTCTCACACCTCCAACATGTGTTACTGTCCTTAAGTTTTAGTTTGGCCATTTTACTGGGGGTCCAGAGATTTTTGTTAAGCAATTTGTACTGAATAAGCTGAGATTGTGCTTCACTAGAACAGTTATGCCAGGATGCAACCAACTTCATCCATCTATCAGCTGAAATCTGTTTGCCCACATCTTTCTCCCAGCATAGTCTCAACCCTTCCAGGTGGGGTGGTCGTGCCTCCCTGAAAATCTCATAAAATTTAGAGGCTCCACATTTTTTATGTCTAGTTACCTGGACTAACTCCTGAATCCTGGTCACGGGGTCAGGGTTCTTCCCCGTGCTTTAATGCAATGCCATTTGTGGAATTTCTAAAAATCCTTGTGTAGGTTTATTCTTGCTTAATTTCATCAAATGACCTACTTTTCCGAGTCACAAAGCAAGTTTATTCCAGCTTTTGCCCATTTCTCCCACATAATAGGTTTTTTGCCAATTAATATTTTTTTTGTTATGTCAATGAACATTTTTTAACAGCAAAGCCTAACAATTCTTACAAATAGACTAGATGGCCAGAAGTATGTGGACATCCCTATTTTTTGTCTGGCTTTGTTTTTCATGCTTTGGACTATAGCCATTAGTTATGTTCTGAGCAAAAGTACACTCATTTACCAGTTGTTTTAGCTACCCTTAATTAATGCACTCCATTACAACAGTCCTGCAATAAATCCTACCTACATAAAGGTTGTTTGTTTTTCTTTAAAGGTGTTTGTAAGTAATGTTGGTGCTGTAGCAATGTATTTTTATTATAATGACAGGTCTTCTAATTATTTTGTCCACCTCATTTGTATCAATGAGTGTAGGCTAAATAACAAAAAACTAAACAAAACAGCTGAAAATGAGGTTTTATTTTCAAAATGTGTGCACATTAGACAGCATTTAGTTTGTCCTGTTTTGAATCGGAACCAAGCTGCATGTCAAAGTGCACAAGTATAAAGTATATTGATGTGTACATATGGATTACAACAATAAATACACATTAGATAAAATAGCAATGAGAAAATTCATATTTTTAACCCTTGAGGATGCATGGAAGTTGTTCAGTTGTATACATTAATTAAAAAAGACAAACCATGAAAAGAAATTCCAGAAAATTATTATAAATTATTATAATAATAATAATAAATTATTATCCTGCATACTTATGGCCTCTGAAAGCAGAAGGCTACTTGTTATTTGGACAGTCTTATTATTTTATGACTGTTGTCGTTTTTGGCATTAATTCAGCCTCTTCAGTTCATTGCAACACTTACATGACATTTTCAGTGATTATTTCCTTTCCAAGTGTAAGGTAGGCTGACATGGCATCGTCCTTGGACATTCCTGATAGAGTGTGTAAATACAAAGTAAAGTCAAACAAACACCAAGAATATATTTAATGATTATACATTATATATATAGGGGGGGTGCCCTGGTAGCTCACCTGCTAGAGCGCGTAACACAAGAGTCCTGACCGCAGTGGCCCAGGTTTGAGTCCGGCCAAACCGTTCACTGCATGTCATTCTCTCTCTCTCTCTCTCTCTCTCTCTCTCTCTCTCTCTCTCTCTCTCTCTCTCTCTCTCTCTCTCTCCTGGCCTTCCTGTTTCTTTCTACTATTACTATCAAAAGCAAAAATGCCCCCAAAAATTAAAATCTTACAAAAATTACACAAGAACAATTTACAAACAAAAAATAAGTCTTATTTAGCACCACATAAAGAGAAAGGTTACGTTTCATAATTCCAATACCAGTGGATATTACTTACCAGAACTAATTCTGTACATTTGCATTGATCTGTCCTGAGAACAAACATTACTATCACTCACTACTGGCTATTAGCTGAGGCTCTGTAAATTGTGTGCGGATTAACATACAAACATGTGCTGAGAAGTAAAAGGCAAAAGTGTAAATAAGCCTGTGTTTAGCCACCCTGTTAGTTGATGTCGGCACTTATAGCTGAGATGTGGTGGCCAGGTGGAGCATCTCATGCAGAGCGCTACTGAAGTAGTTGAATAGTGCTGCGGCATCTGTCTCACGGCAAGATGTCCATGCTGAGATGCAAATCACAATCCTAGAGGGACAAAAGACAGTACAGAGTGGATATGATTGCAGCCTTAATTTTGGCTTGACTAGCTGTCATTTTTAAATACAAGTTTTAACATCTCACGCAGAAATCATGACAAAGATTATCAAAAAAGAAACAGAACGATGAAAGCAGGCTCATGTTTTATCTGCCCACCTTTCATCTCTGATCCGGTAGAAAAAGCCATAGCCGTGGTGCACCATGGGAGCCACTGCCCCCAAAATTGTGGTGTAGCCCGTCAGGCTGGACGACAGCACAAAGTTACCACCGCCACCACTGCAGACACAAACACAACTTCAGTCCAATACATTATATACGTTTGCCTTGGCAGCCGATGGTCATGCACATGTGACTATGCCCATATTCATATTTGTCAGACAAAACACCCAAAATATAAACTTCATGTGATTTCATGGCGGGGGATAGTGAAGAGAGAGTTTTTCTGTAAACCCCATCAGTTGGTGACAGAAAATGGTAATGGTTGGTAAATGGACTGCATTTATATAGCTCCCTTCTTGTCAAAGCATTTTATGCCACAGGTCAACATTCACCCATTCACACACCACTGGCACAGCCTTCAAGTCAAGGACACTTCAACATGTGAACTGGAGGAGCTGGGGATCGAACCACCAATCTTCTGGATGGAGACCCAACCTACCAAAAGCCACAGCTCCCCGAAAAGTAAGTTTTACACAACATAGCATGTGATTGCATTACTGGATAACCTTTTCATGCACAATTACAGTTCCATAATTATATTACCAGTAGACCACAGACACACTGCTTCAACCAAATAAATTAGCTTTACAGACAGTACCTCTTTGCATAGAGGGGATCCGTAAAGAGCTCTGGAATGGGACGTCCCTCCTCTCTGGCGATAAGATACAGCCCAAGAAGATGTCTGTCAAAACCTGGCAGCAATGTAAAAATAACATGAATTAAAATCAGAGACACACATAGTGAGGGTAGAGGGAGAGAAAATGTCCACAATGCCTACTATAGTGATATGTAGAAACATTTTACATGTAAACATGTAAAGTGAACTAACCTTTTCCTTCCTGGGCTTCAGCCATCAGTTTGTTGTGTTTATGGAAGGCCAGCAGCATGGCTTTCCTCCTCTCATCAACCTGACAGAAAAATGTTTATGTATGATGTCAAATAGTCAAAGACTGTTTCAACCTCTTTCATTTGAGTGATTTTACCACAGTGCAGGGTTTCAGACATACACACACTCACGTTGCAAGTGGGGTCCATCATGGCTGTACACCAGTTCACAGCCTCCTCGGTGCAGGGTCGCATTGTCTCTGTCCTGCCGTGGTAGAACTTGCGAGTTGTTGCCGTCTCATAACAACTTCCTGGCCTTAGAGGGGTGAGAAGAGACATTCAGGGTCATTCACTTATGACGGTTTATTCACACATGGCTCATTTGGAGCAGTTGTTTTGAAACTAGGAGCCTTTCTCCCAGTGGTTTAAAGTAAGGATGTCCCGTTGTCACAGGGACAATAAAAATAGCACCTGGGACACAAAGTCACAGTGTCTGGGACATTTCTGGGACAGTAATATATATATATCATTACAAATGAACTAATTACATGTATGCGTCATGAAATATATATAAATTCAGGTGTTAGGTAAAATAAAAAAATTAGATGGCATTGGCACAAGCTCTTTGCTACATCAGATGCTCGCTTACAGGCACTAAACCAGTGTTGCCAACCTTTTTTGATAGGTACTGACCACTGCAGACCGTAAATCCTTTAAAAAAATCTCCTGATTCTAACACATCAACTTGAGGACAAAATGTTCACTTGCTAACTGATATATCCCAGGATATATGCAGGATGACAATCGACAAAACCGTCCAATCAACGAGTTACCTGCCAGTCTGAATAACTTTATAACTGTATACTTTACATACGCTTTGTGCATTCTGTAGTAGGCCAGCTGCATTGCTAGTTGAACAAAGGTATCTGGATGCAGCTTCTTCTGTTTGATGGTTGCTTTTCCAAACGCTGTGAAGGCGTAACACACAACCTGCAGGTCCTGTGTCTGTAAAACCAGCAACAGAGTGGACAGTCACACAGCTGTGACTATGGACAATTAGCATCAGGTCCTAACAAAGTTTGAATATTGGCTCACCGACACCAGGTATTGCTGTTTGGCATGACTGATGTCACTGAGGACTTTTTCGTCCACAGTAAACACCAGCTCCTCAGGAGGAGGGATGGATCTGACTGCCTCTGAGCCCTAAAATGTGTGAAAAGAGATATTTGAAGCAAACTGTAATAAACAATAATTATTTCAATTGATGTAGAAAACTGAGTAATAATTAATATTTACCTTCCATTTGCCTTCTGTAGCTTTAATTTGCTGGTCCAGATACCAGCACATAGACACCAGTATAATGCCATCATATGGTGCATGCTGCAAAACAATTTGACTGGATCAATTATTTATTATTTAACACCTTAAGATTAATGTCTTGAAGTTTTTACATGGTGGTGACTCACAAAACAAAACTCACATCACAATTGCATCCAAAAGTACCATCTGCAAACACGATTGAATTGTATGATTTGTCACCCCAGCGGATGGTAGGGTTGCCTGTAAGGGTTTCCAGAGTCACCTGTGTTCAGAATCACAACGTCATACAATCAGACACATAACTCACATACATAACCCAACAGTGAACAGCAATAAGAAATAATTACACTTATGCAGCTCCTACATTTGTGTAGTTATCTGGAGTGGAGTAGGGTTTGGTTTCATCCAGAGATATAACGAACAGGCTGCTTTGGATGGTCTCCAGGATGGTATTATTATGTGGATCAATGCTTATTAGATGCTCCCTGGCCTGCAGAGACAAGAAACAGTGAAATGCTAACAGTACTGATCCTAAAGAAAATGTTTGTAATACGAGAACTTTTTCACAAATGTAATCCATAATCTGTTTTAGATTTTATTTGCTGAGATAAAAACCAAAGTCTCCAAACGTGAGCACCCCTACCTTCGCCCAACGAGTCCTCTCCTCTGAGGTGAGAGCGCTCACTCCGTCTCCCTCCGGCTCTCCCTCACAGCACTCACTCACGTAGCTCAGCTGCCTACAGAGGTTAACACACATAATAGAAAACATGTTGAACCTGGGTGGTTTCCATTCAGCCTTGGTTTCTGCAGTTCAATTAAAGAGTTTTTAATACCTTTTTAAGGCCAGTTTGAAAGTATGGTGGAAAACCAATAGACAATATGGCCTAGAATTTGATTCCAGTGTTTCCCAGCAATATATAATATTATATATAATTATTGACATTAATGCTACCAGGACCCTATGGCAATGCGTTTCCTAACTACTGTAGCTCGCACTAGCAACAGTGTTTGCTACAGGTCTGATGGTTCTGACTGAAACAGGCTTCTGCAGCACTCAATCTGTCACCATCATCATTCATTTTAGTCATGTTTCTACTATTACAGTTGTTATTGTTACTATTATTGTAATATTATTTCTGCATATCTCGCTCTCTCTCTCTCTCAGTACCCACGCCTACATGCCCTCCCCCTCTACCCGCTGTCCTCCCTCTCACGCTATAAATCCAACCGGTCGCGGCAGTCAGCCACCTACCAAGAGCTGGGTTCTGCTCGAGGTTCCATATTTTAGGTTTTAAAGAAGTTGTAATAACTACCTGAGCAGTTCTGGAGGAGTGAGGATTTGTCCATCACAGACTGCATCAAACGTGAAGAACCGTCCGCGACACATCACTACCAAATGGGAGGGGCAAGGACCCTCACGCTCTGTGACACAGCACAAAATGCACATTACACAACAGTGATATGTCAACTGACAGTGGGCTAAAGGTAAGAGATAACAGCAACGTTTATTCTACCCATTTTGAAGTAGTTACGAATGGTGTCCTTCTTTACTCCAGGTACTTTGCAGGTGGAGAACAGCATTCTGAACTGGTCCATATCTAATGGTGTTTTGCCAGATTTCTGAGGAGCCAGCCTCTCCCTAAAACATGCAAGAACAAAAAAATTACATATATACATGACTTAATGTAGAAATAGGAGCAAACTCTGTTTAACACACCACAAAAACACAGCTTGTGTCTTACGTGCGGATCAGGTTCCAGTACTGCAGCGTATGCCATGTACTGATACTGGCCCTCTGCAGATGAGTTCCCTCTTCAGGAGGCCAGCAGTGCTCCAGGTAGGGCGCCGGGCCACCAAAGTTCACATTCAGCTGAGAGGGGACGCGGACCTCCAGATATGCAGAATCTAACCACCATTCTTCCAGCTGGGGAATAAAAAGAAACAGCTAGCTAAGTAAAACAAAGCTTCATGAGTAAAGAGTACATCTGTACCACCAAAAACAAGACATTTACAGCTCAATTACACACCCAGTTCTTCTTTGTCTTGGCTCTCTGCAGTAGTTTCTGATGCAGCTCTTTGCCAACACCCTCTTGAAATTTATTCACAGTGTCCACTGTAGCCTTAAACTCCTTCTCAGATGCAAATAGTTGAACTGATGGAAAACATGGCAACGCAAAATTAGTCAGTCTATCAAGTAAGGGCAGAACATTACTTCCCACACCATTGGTTGTGGCTTTTATCAAAGAAGCAGAAATATTTATGTTGACTTTCCTTATTTATTTTTTATGGTATTTGAACACTATATCAAGGTTGCATGGCAAACATTTATAAAACCTGAAACAGATTAACTCAGCAGTTTGTACAAAGCTACTATCTTACCTGCATTCAGGTACTTTAAAAGGCTATTCTCTAGCGATGGGACAGGCAGGAGTGGCAGGCTGCTTTGGTACTGGAAGGTCCGCTCTGGCAACAACTCTGACACATGATTAGCCATTTCTTCTTCCTGAAATACACAAAAATGTCACACTGCTATGAAGCTGAGGCTGACATTGCCTTGTATCACTTGTATCACATGTAACTTGCAGTATCTGTTGATCTTGAGGCATTCCTCTTTCAGAGTTGTATTTTTTGAGATTAATTATAAAACAAACATCTGTAATAGTGTTGTCCTAAATACAATGTCCAATAATCAGCCAGTCTTATTTATTAGCAACAGTGAGACTAATATCCCAAAATCTATAATAATAACTGTATAAACTGTTGAATATATTAAGAGATTTGCTTGTGTATGTAGTCTTATTGTGGCTACTTTCTTACAGATTTCAATATGGACATTTGAATACATTTAATATGTTTTAAACCCACACAGTTTACATATTTTACATACTGTGTTTTGGATGTGACACATGTCATATACAACACATGAAAGTACACATTCTGTGGAATCTGTATGAAATTACCCGAAATCATTTAATAAAAAAACAAAACACTCAACAGTGTTCATGTTTACAAACCATGAGGGTTGCAAATAAATGTTCATTATAGATTCATTTGACTATTATTTTTCCCAGAAAATGTATTAATTGTTTGGTCGATAAAATGTCAGGAAATTGTGAGGAATTAATAATTTTACAATTTAATGTCATATTTACAAAGAGAAGCAGTAAATGTTTATTTGAGAACCATTTTACAGTGGGTGTAACTTTTACAGACATTCAGTTATGTGTATATAATAATTTTATTCTTCCTTTAGTGCAACCTTTTGTTCTGTTTTGTTCTTTTATAATTTAAATAGCTGTTTATACATCCTCTGTGGGTGTAGGTGTTACAACTGTACTTCAATGTATATAATGACAATAAAGCCTTAATGCCTAATGGCAGCTCTGATCTCAACCATTGTAGCTGATATCTGCAGTGCACACAGTCACTGATCAATAAAACAATAGTAATACTAAACCCAGTCTACTTCCTCTGAGTTACTGCTATTACATAAGCTGTGTTGCTATTTGTATTTATAGTTGAAAACACTCACAAAAATTAACTTTTTACTCGTTTATGATTAATTCAAACGGTTGCCTGTAAACTATGTAAGTTATGTTTGACGATAGTTTGTCAGTTTATAGGTTAAACTTGATTCAAACACTGAACTAATGTTATAAAAGTAGTTCTGAGAATAGTTTATAAGTTAAACTTGATTCAAACACTGAACTGATGTTATAAAAGTAGTTCTGACAATAGTTTATAAGTCAAACACTGAACAGTGCCTCTGTTGGCTCACCTTCTCCAGGTATGTTGACGTTAACTTTACGCACACACAGCAGAAATATCTCTGTATCGATCCGTGTGCTGGTTCCCGACCGGGTCCGTCTGCGGGACGCGCAGCACAATTAGTTACATTGTTAGGTTTAGTCACCAAAATGACTTAGTTTTGTTAGTTTGTTGTTTTACAAGTACTTTCATCCAGGAAGTTATCTCAGGGGGGTGTGTCGCGTAGTCTGGCGCTTCTTCTTCTTCGGGTTTTAATGTCGGTTGACAAACCAGCCTGTAGGTGCACTACCGCCACCTGCTGGACTGGACATTGGTAGGGAAAAATAAACTAATACTAAATACTAAATAATCTCTATTATTCCTGTTATGTTGTTATTATTATATATTAAATAATTACTTAAACGATTATGTACTTTCCATGATTTCTTTCCGAGTTGATTTTCTAATGTAATATTATGTCCCTCATCAAATGCTGATATTATTCCCTCCTTTCTTGTTCATATTTGCTGCAGTCTGTTAATACATGTTTGACCGTGTTGGGTTTATTACAGTGAGTGCATAGTCCACTAGGGTGCTTGCCTGTGATATGTACTGTGTGATTTAATCCAGACCGGTGATTACTATCTCTTCCTTTGGGCTCCTGCTCTGTAATCCACCAATGCCTACACTGTATATTGTAATTTACTGTACTGTATTTCTTCCAGTGTCAAATGAATCCCAGTATTCCTGCTGGTTTTGCATATATGATCCTTTCCTATTATGTAGCCCATATAGTTTGTTGATTTCCCTTCTTCTTCTTCTGTTTAGTTTGATGGCGGTTGACATCTAAAAAGTGTTGCATTGCACCCTCCTGCCACCCTCTTGCCCCTGATTGTCCATTTCATAACCCCGTCTGAGTGGGTGTGAATCCTTCCCTCAGTTTAATCTTTAATCTATATCTTCTCCAGATCTGACCACAACATTCAGTGGACAGTGATCCAGTCTCAGGCCACTTACCAATTACTCAATTACCACATTGTCCCTCCTGCCCATTCAACAACTCACCCCACCTTACTCCACAGTCCCATGTGCTGTGTTCCAGTGCCAGCTTGGAGGATCGTACTGCGCATGCGTGTTGCACTTGACCTACATTTTATCAGCTACATAAAGAGGCATTGATAGTGAGTTTGTACCATAGACTGTATAAGTAGGTTTGTGTGCTGCAGAGAGGTGAGAAGTGGATTAATTTAGAGGTTGCTGTAACAACCAAGACAACAATAGAGACAATGAACCACAAACCACAAACTACACACAATACTTTTATCTATGAAATAGGCGTATATGTGCTCTGAAACTGGTTTTGCTTGTTGTAATTATCTTGTTCATACTGGTCATTAAGAGATCCCAGTCTGACATGCTACCAATATAAGTGATGGGGGACAATTTCTACAGTCCTGCAATAAATCGTACTTTCATGAAGGTTGTAATGGTGATTTCAGAGGCCGCAGTTTGTGTTGCATTATACTGACAGTTGTTTCTATTGTTTAGTCCACCACGTTTATGTCAAATAACAAAAACAAAAAACTGTTCAGAAAGAGGTTTTATTTTCAAAATGTGTTCACATTTGACAACATTTAGTTTGTCCGGTTTTCATTAAGATTCGAGCTACATATCACTTTTATTGCTGTGTACATGTGGATTATGAATGAATGACATAAATCAGCAAATGTGATATTTTAACTGTAAAAGGTGAAATGTTCATTATGATCCTGCATAATTATGGCCTCTGAAAGCAGAAGGCTACTTGTTATATAGACAGCAGCATTGTTTTAGTAACTGAGTCACGACTGTTGTCGTTTTATTGCATTAATTCAGCCTCTTCAGTTCATTGCAACCCTTACATGCCATATTTGCTGATGATTTCCTTTCCAAGCGTAATGTAGGCTGACATGGCATCATCCTTGGACATTCCTGAAAGAGTGTGTAAATACAAAGTATTTTGTAGTAGTACAGTAGTATTTTGATTAAAAACACAAAGTATGTTGCTGTTGCTCAGTCTACCACTTTGGTCCAGACTGAAATATCTCTACAACTATTCAATGAAACTCTGTACAGACAGTCACGGTTCCCAGAGGATGATTCTTACTGACTTTAGCGATTCGTGGTTCTTTGTGATTAAATCTCTCGCCAACCATTAGCTGGATTCCTCATCATCCCCAGCTGTACTTTGTGTTTAATGCTAATTAACATGTAGCAGAAGACTCTTGTTTCTCTCGGTTAATCTTTAACTGATAATAATGCTGACATCGATCAATAAATCAGAGCTGATAACAAGTATCAAAGCCCTACAAGCATTTGTAACTGGTTACCTTTCCTGGAGTTCCAGGCGTCCCATTTGGCTTTTCCTTTTAAGTCCACCATTCCTGGTCTGTCTACAATTGTGAAATCACACAGAGAGGAGGACATGTTTAGAATTTAGGGAATATTACATAAAAGTGCTTTTGTTGTTCTGCAGCGAGTCCTACCAGTGTTAATGTCTCCAACCATCGCCTGCTTATAAAGGCCATACAGGTCCAGCAGCTCCTCGTCCGTAGGCCTCGTCTTCACCTTCTTCACATCCTCTGCTATCTTCTCAAACTCTGCCTGTAATAAATGAAACAGGAAAAGTCACTCCTCGTATTTCTGATAAATCATTTGAAACATACAGTAGCTATTGTTTGCGCAGGGTAAGCAATCATATATAGATTCTTCTGCTCTTTGCCAAGTCCGACAGACAAGTCAGTCAAAGCTATTTGGTGCAGTGGGAGTGTAGAGGAATCCCATCGGATCCAGGGACATATTCAAGAGGGAGACATGGAGACTTTAAGGTGTGGCAGATAAATATGCTGATTTCATCATAGACAATCGCATCAATATTTGCTTGGAAAAGCCCCCAAATGAAGGTATTTTAGCTCAAAAACATTATTATTGTGGCACATTAGAAAAGCATTGAATAGAAATAACTAAAGAGGGCATTAGAAATCAATAAGATGTTCTGTTTCAAAGTCTTTTCTATCAAACATAAGCCTCAGTCTGAAGTCTAATCCCTTATAAATATGGCTGTAACAGATCATTCAATTAATTTCTGTTTATAACTCATTATTTTTAAGTTGTATCTAAGTTAATGTTTTAAATATGGCAGCACTTGACACCAGGCCAGGCCCTTTTTATGGGTGGCAGCTGCCACTCCATGCCACCGCCCTCGAATCACAGAATATGAGAATGTGCATATTAATCAGTTACACACACACACACACACACACACACACACGCACACAACTCTGAATAAGAAGTCTGAGCGTAGTATTCTGGTCATGGTGCAGAGTCCGGGAAACCTATTGTTGCACAAGTTGGAGACAAACAATGGGCTTTTATTCAAGACTCTACTGCTTTTGTGCCTACTTGAATAATCTACTTTACAAAGGATCTGGGACAGAACAGATAATTATAGACCACAAGAAACCCCTTTAGGATGGATAAAAACCTGAAAACCCCCTAAACTTTAAGCCTAAAACTCAAATATTTTCCTGAAATGCTACAAAGAATAACCTCTACATCTGAACTATTTATCACAACTACTCATCTTATAAAAATAATTTAAGAGTCAGATCTATTATTTATAATCATATTTACTTGTCTGCAATCTGCCTGCAGTACGGTGAGTTGCAGCATCATAAGGGAGCACAGAGTCAGATGATCAATATGTCTGAACTCGCATTTCTTACATGTACTGTGTCCATCCCACACTGTCAAAGATGGATGACACCACGTACAGTGGATGGCGTGAACACCCCGCCGCTGCCACCGTTATACAGCGAGGATGCAGACACAGATACGCTGCTGAATACGGTTAAAAGAAAGGGAATATTTTACCTGAGGAGACATGTTCGCAGATGCAGCCCCGCAGTCCGGATGGTTATAGTCTCTCTGTGGCCTCGGCGGCTCTTCGCAGCTGTAATTGCAGCACAGCTGATCGATGCAATACTGTCACCCAAGGAGAGACCTGCAGAGGAGGGAGCAGAGAGCTGCTGAGGAGCTGATTGGCTGCCTGTAACCCTCACTCACACACACACACACGCACACACACACACACACACACACACACACACACACACACACACACACACACACACGTACACGCGCACACACACTACTACAATGTAGAGTAATGTAAAATACTGGTACTGTACTTTTAATTTTATGAATAGATGGAAATATTGTGCTTATTAGTGCACTATATTGATCATTTATTAGCAGATTATGAGTTTAGTATAAATAATATATTTAATATTTGTTATAAAATACCCAATAGTAGTTACAATGAGCAAAATATTAACTAATTATATACTAATATAATTAATATTAACCAACCACAACAGTAAAAAGCTACCAATCAATAGCTAATAATACAATAATATAATATATTACATTTCTGTAATTTCTGTACATTTTCTGCCTACCTTTACTTTCATGTGATTTAGGTAAAATTATGAATAAAGGAATTGAAATTGAGTATTTTTACATTTTGGCATTTCTAATAAATAAGTTGTTTTCGGTTCTTCCACCACTGAAGAAAAACACATTTAATTAAACACGATTTAAAATATTAATTGGCTTTAATAACTCGTTTTAAACATGTTTTAATATAAGTTAATCAATAAAAGTATAAATTGTGACCTCACTGCGGCGTTATTGAACCCTGACTGTCGTACTGCTCTTTGAACGCTGGTCGGCGCTGTGAATGTGTTTTAATAAAGTTATTACAATTCAAACAACATGGCGGCTCCCTGTGGTCCACCCGTGTTGTCGGACTGAAGAAGAAATAGCTTTTTGCTGCATTAAAAATCAGGTAAAGTGACTAAATGTCACTGTTGTTTGTAAAGTATGTTGTTGTCATAATGTTGATGCGGTTATAGGAACATGTGCAGAGTTTTTATTACGAGTAAAAACAAGTTAATTTCAGTGAGATTGACAGTGAAAACTATTATAATATTGATTGTTAATAATCACATCCAAAACCTTGTTATTATGGCCTAACTGATAATGGAGTTCTAAAGACTAATATTGATAATATTTATTAGTCCTATCTTACATTTATTATCTATTTTATTGTTATTATTATTGTTATTTATCTTTGTCCAGCAGCTTGCAGACCTGTGTAAGAAAAGGTATTCAGTCATACAGAAGTTACACAACTACAGACTGTTTTAAACTTGGTTTCTGGTGGACAGACCTCTATTCTATTGACTGGGCTTCACTGTAGTTGTTATATAAATGTATTGCTTGTTTACTACTTGTGTTCTTGTCTTGATTTCAGAGGAGGTATGGCCACTGCAGGGAAGCCAGGAACTAAAAAGGAACTCAAGAGACATGTTCCAGCAAAGACCTCCTTCACCTCACCCTTCACCCCTAAGTGGAACCCACTCTCCCAAGAAGACATGCATTTCATCCTGAAAACCCTGAAGGACAAGCTGGTTTCCACTGGTCTTGAGAAGAAAGAGGTGAAAGTGTTTCGCCCGTGGAGGAAAAAGAAAGACCAGAAACCTGCTGCCACATCAGAACCTGTCCCACAGGTGAGCCAGGACTCTCCCAGAAACGGCTGGACAGATGTGGCAGCCAGAAGACAACTGGCCATTGGCATCAACGAGGTCACCAAAGCTCTGGAGAGGAACGAGCTCAGACTGTTGCTTGTGTGCAAGTCCGTCAAGCCCCAACACATGACGAGTCACCTGATAGCCCTGAGCGCCACAAGAGGTGTGCCGGCCTGCCAGGTGCCTCGGCTGAGCGAGAGCGTGTCGGAGCCACTGGGGCTGAAAAGTGTCCTCGCTCTGGGATTCAGACAGTGTCCCTCCAAAGATGACGAGGTGTTTGCCGACACCGTTGACGCCATTACACCCAGGGTGCCTTCACTGGATGTCGCATGGCTACAAGGTGCAGCGCCCAGCGTAACACCTGAAGACCCTGCTGAGGTGGAAGAGGAGGCTGGCAAGAAGAAGGGCCAGAAAAGGAAACTTGAGACTGAACGTGAGGAGGTCACAGAGTCGGCCTCCTCCTCCTGCACTCTGCAGCCTCTCAGAGTGAAAAAAATAGTTGCCAACTCTGCAAAGAAAAGACAAAAAAAAGCATAGCCAGTCAAATGAGATATTAAAACAATTTTGACCACTTAAATGAGGCACTAGTGTAGGCATGAGGTCTTTTTTTTCTTTATCCAATTAATCGACTTGTGTGACGCCTCAGATTTATTCTGGAAAACTCTCCAACCATCCAAAAGCTTTATCCCACATATCAACTGAGAATATCAGTTTTTAGTTTTGTGAATTGCATTTTTCTGACATTTTGGGCAGCCGTTGGTTTATAATCGTTTAATATTGTGTGTGTAATTCATTCCAGTGAACTAGAACTGAAACACTTCTCCAGTGGAAAGATTTGCCCATAGAATATAACTGTTAGCTGCAGCTCTACAGTTAACACCATGTCAACTTTTATTTTTTTTATCTGTGTTAGTAGGTGATTGACTTTCTGAGTCAATAATGAATTACAACAGAAAGAAAATATGAATTCAGTTTAGTCAAAGATAGGAGACATTATTTGTTGGAATGTGCTGCTTTTCTAAAAAAAGTAAGTCTGTTCTCATACTCCAGTGAGATTAATGGAAACCAGTGGACGTGATTTATAATAACTCGGTTAAAATTAGTTGGGACCCTGGTGTGATCCTTTAAACTGATTTCCTTGACCCGAAACAGGCACAACAAAGGACATTTATAGCTATGTTGTTTTTTCTGTTTCTGAATTAAACTCACAACTTAAAATATGACATTGTTTAATATTTTCACACCCCAACCGATTTATAACGAGTCAATTTAACCGTTTGTCTCAGTTAAAACTGTAATATACTGTAAATGTGCCTCTTGTATTAAAATAAACTGCATTACTCATGTTCCTTTTTCAAGTGAGTTTATTCAATCAAATATCCATGCTGGTATAGCTGACGTGTGTGTTGAAACAGATTGTTATTTGCATGGGGTCATGTCTAAATGATGCTGGTACAAGTTCTTCAGCTTTTTCACAGCTTACAATGGATTTGAATAAAAATATTGTTCTTCAGTTAGAGAAAGCTGTATGTCATTTCAAAAGTATACCCACCCGACCCCAAATCTTAATTAAAAAAGAAAAAACATCTTTTAAATAAGGCAGGTACTTAGGGTTGAGTTCTCACTAAAGGGTGTGGCTAAGTAAAATCAACACGGCAGCAGAACTGACATGCTCAAAGTTCATTCAAACAGCTGCAGGCAACACATCTGTGACACAACCAACATCCATGAGGCACACCGTAGACTCAATAACCCAGTTTCAGTGCTAAATTAATGCCGGTAACGTCTGTCTTTGTGAATGTAACTCATTCAACCTTTCAATAGTAAGTAAATAAAAATCTTTGAACCCTGAAGCACTGACCGTCCATTGGTTGTCCTTTTCTTGCGAATATATAAAGGGATGAGAGGAAAATTACATCACATACAGAGAAATGGACAGAAATGGCAGCAGTCTCTACCTCTTAAGTTATGCAGAGCCACATGAACAGGAACATCAAACATAAAGTAACAAACTCAGAAAAAACAAACATTTTTAACCTTTGAGTACACCAGCAGCATCATCATCATTATCAAAGATCCTCTTCCTGCTCAGCTGAGCACAGGGACTTAAAACCCTTAAAAATCTGTTTTGAAGTTGCCTTTTTAACTGGAATTTTTTAGGGAAATACTGGAAAGAAAAAGGACAGGAATTATGTCTTAAGACATCTTGCAAAGTACAATTATAAATATCAGAACTGTTCAAAGAATTTCACGCATTTAGCTGCACAACACACTAAAAAATGACCCACAGTATATTTTTCAGACACACAAATACAGTACCATTTAAGAAAAAAATCCAGAGAAGTCAGTAAAAATGGACCTGAAGAAACAGGGAAAGCTCAAATTTCAAACTGATGTGGTTGCTGATACAGGCTGTTTGCTTATTCAGCCACTGCACTCTGAATACATGCTGATGCTAAATTATTCTTCAGACACTGTGATGTTGTGCTCAATTCTTTGTTTTATTCAGCTGAGAGTTTGATTAGGAACACAAATAACTTCCGACTGCAAGTGACAGAATCGATGGTTACGTGTGTATTTATGAGAGAAACATCCAGTGTTGTACTTCATGAGCATCTCATTCACTGTTTTTGCAACAGAAATTAGTAAGTGGTATTTTCTCTGAGTGGCAATGACTTTAATTAACAAGGAAAAAAACTACTTTGGCTGATTTAAACTGAGAGCCTTTTTTATGCTGTAAAAAGGGTCTCAAGATCGAAACCAAGACTAGAGAAAACAAACAATTTCAATTAAGTCCACAGCGGCTAAAGTTTAACTGGCATTTTGTTGTTTTCCAGCCTTTGGTGCTGTAATTCTCGCTGCCCTGCAGTGTGCACTGAGTGTGCCATCCTTCGTTTTTTTCAGCTTTTGCCTCTAATTTAATTAATAAACACACAATACAGACGACCCTAAGGTGTGTTTGTTACTGTGAATGTAACCAAACAGCATGTTCAGATGTTCTGTTAAAGACACCGACTCTAGAAACAGCTTTATAAGAGAAAACAGCTCACATCCTTTGCAGAAACCAAGGTTGTACAGTTTGTACCGCAACCCATCGGTTTTGAAATCTGACCCTTTTAAAAAAAAAAAAAAAAAAGACCCTTTTGCTTGTTTAGGAACTCAAAAATTGTGCTTCATTGATGCAATACATTCTTCATCAAAAACCACTTAAACCCACGTTGTCTGAACAAACTCAGTGACATCTACAACTACGTATGAGGAAATACTTTGGATCAGCCCTCCCGAACCCCAAACTCACACTACAGGAATAAATATGATCTGGCTTTAAATGTACAGGTAACTATATATCTTTAACAAAAAAAAACATGTATATCAATGCACCAGTTGGATGAGTCCTTCCATGAAGATATCCTTTGTGTGTGTGTATGTGTGTGTGTTATTTGACAGTGTTTGTGTTTCTGTGTGTTATTTTAACAAGTTTCTTCCTTTATACGTCAGCTATCACAGAAACACGTCCTTAGCATTTCTAATTCTACCGAGGCTCGAAACAGCCAGCAGAAACAACTTCTGACCACAATGATAGGAGACGGGACGGGAATAATAACTCTTCCACTGCCTTTAAGACCCTGCCAGTGTGCAGTTTTTTGTTTTTGTGGTCATGTTTACTTGTTGATTATCATTTACATAGTTCAATGTCAGCGAAAATTAAATGACATGCCAGTCTCTTGTAACGACGTGTCTGCTGAGGAAGAAGAACTAAACAAAATTCACAATGTCAAGGCATCCTCTTGTATGTCAGACTGTTTTAAATGTGAGTGTGCATGTCAGGAGCATTGTACTGTATGAGTATCTCAGGCATAGCATGACTTCACATTCAGGATGTTGATGATTTTAAGAGTTTTCACCTCCAGGTGAACTGAGAATGTTCTTGATGACGGGTGAACCGCCTCCCAGTCTCCAGGTTGGTTTTACTGTTGTAGTTCTCATTGTCTAGCTTGGGCTACCTGTATGTCCAGGTAAGGAATAGCCAGAGGTCACTGACGACCTCTTGATCAGTGTTTGTGTAGCAGCCGTGAAGAGACCTGCTACTGAAGGACGAGGCCAACCTGAAAAACACAGAGTAACCTGTTGTTAGAGGAGTTTTGACTAAAAGAATACGAACATTAAAAGCTATGAATAGGTTAGTTATTAAATATTTACACACACCATCTGCCATTAATCTGCTAACAGTAACTGAACTACTGTAAGTAAACGACAAAACATTATCTTGCTAATGGACTGAGGAGTAATGGAGATTATACTGCTGACAAATCTGACACTTGATCAAAATACTGTTTAACAGTGTTGTAAACTGGGAAATTTCTAGATGTATGCCTGTATAAAGAAAAGTCATACCTACATTTACAAAATGTTAAGTTTATATAACATTTGACCTCCTTAAAATGTTTTTTTTTTAATGTTATATTAGATACAATACACATATACACAAATACAATAATGCACTTTTGCTGAGATCGTTACCCCTAAAGTACTTTACTTTTTCAGTGTTGCAAAGCATGATTTCTGATTGAACTGAGCCTTTGTGGCCGTCTACAAATCCCCTTCTAATTCCAGCATTTTAGTCCACTGTGCAACTTACAGAAGCTATGACATAACAGAGAGCAGACAACTTACACAACCGATAATGTCTGCAAAATAAATCTAGGACCTACTCCCTCTCTCATTATTGGGTCTTAACACCAGACTTTGACAAACGCCGTCAACAAATCCTGCTGCTGACCTTATCGGGGTCCATAGGTGGACATTTCCAGTTGTAGAGGTAATACTGCAGATTTCCATCTCCTATGCCAAACTTGAGCTTCTCCAGGAACACCTTATTCTCCATTAGATCCAAGGCATTGAACACATCAAAACCTTTCTGTTAAACACACAGAATAAGAAATCACAAACTAAATATGATGAATTCTGAGTCAATAGGAATCATGATGAATTACACAGCAGCAAGAGAATCTATGAAACAGTTAGTTTGAGGTTAAAAAACTGTTAAAGAATTATTTATTTATTGAGGCCTTGGGTTGTGCAGATCTGGAAGCCTTATTCCCTTTTCTTGAACTTAAAGTTAATAACCATAGAACAGTTTAATTATTTGATAGCAGCACATTTTATAACAACTCTACACAGAGGGTAAACTTTACCAGTTTGGCCAGGATCAGTGCATCATTCATTAAGTCCAGTAGTGGGGTTTGTGTATGAACGTTGTAAAAAGAGTAAGCAGCCTTCAGGCTCCTATGGAGAGGGTGGTGCATCACGGTTGAGGGCAGAGTGTAGAAACTAGCGAAATCTGTCAGTACACCACCAGCACCCTGAGGAGAGAGAAACCCAATAACTGTCAGAAGAACCGACAGACAGACAGTCAGTATTTTGAGGAGGAAAACTAATTCCAGATACCTCTACTACATATGTGTCAATTATGTTGTCCTGTGGAAAGAACCAGTGAGCCACCTCCTCTTCTCCCATAGAAGGTGCAAGTTGGAAACGTCTCAGGTATTTCTGTAGCAGCTCGGTGACCTGGCGTATGTCACGCCTCTCCATCGGCCGCAGACCTGGGGTCTTGGTGCTCTATATCGGGTGTAGAACGCAAGAGAAAAAAAGTCTATATAATTCCCCGCTATTGATAAGAATGATAAAGAGAGATCCAGGACTGACAGGTTGAAGTGTTTACATCTGGTAGTCTGTAGAGTTTCATGGTTCTTTGCAGAGTCATGTTTCTGCTCAGGTGGGAGAATTTAACTTCCACAAGCTTTCTGGGATTCAGAGAACGATGCCAATACCTGACGGAGACGGAGGAAAGAGAAAAAAAAAGAAACAGAGAGAAAGAGTTAAGCGGTGTTGGTTTTAAATTACTTTCTGACACCATGTTTGACGTCTTTCAGTATGTTTAAATACTGCACGGCATACCTGCATGTGGACACAGGTTTAGGCAGCACCACTCCTGCTGTGTATACTGCCTGAAATATTCCTTCTAAGTTCACCCTCCGTGTGATCTCTCTGATTAGCACTGGAGCAACGCGCTTTGAACGCAGCTTCTTATGGACACACAGGAAGTTGATTTCAACCATCCTCTTCAGTCTGGGGCAGCAAAGGGAAAGAAGATGACTTGCGCATTACAGTAAAAGGGTTTCTATTGACTCATATTACTGCTCTGTGCCAAATGCATAGGAGCCGTTATGAGTGCTTACGTGTCATAGATGCGTATATCTGCAGGGATGGCACTGATGAAGCCCACAAGCTTCTTATTTGAAGACACTCTCACTCCACAATGCCACTGTGGTAACCAGCCAGGTGGACGCAGAGCCCTGAGAGTGGAGGAGGAAGAGCAGACAGTTGAATACTGTATACACATTAATTAAACAATCAGCAGAGTAATAAACAAGAACAACATCAGAAGTGAAAGCTTACCATTTGAGAAAGTTTGGTGAATAATCAAATCTGAACATGTTGTCGTCATCCTCCACATAATTCTCATTTAACAATGTGTACAACTCCTTCAGCTGGAAAAGACACAGCAAACAATTTATTTTGTGTATTTTAGAGCGGATATGATTGAATAAGTCGATCAAAGAAGACAAGTATTTTTAAGCATTAGACTTTAAAATTCAGTCTAGGATCTCAAATGTGAGAATTCCCCACTTGGTTTTAACTTTACATTTTTATTATATTTTTTTGGGCAAAACAAGACATTTGATGATGTCAGCTCTACAATACAGTGAAGGGCATTTTTGTTACTGTTTCCTGATGTATTATGGATTAAAGAACTTGTAAGTAAATCAAGAAAATAATCAGCAGCAGATTTGATCAGATTGATTACAAAAATAAGCAGCAGCCCTAATGAATGTATAGTTTAAGTGTCTAAGACTAACACCGTACTTACTACATCAGCATTGCTGAGATCCAGAGTGTCCCACATAAAGCCTTGAGGTAAGGAATATGGCTCCTGTCTAATGTTTTCTTTGTCTGCTTCTATCGGCCCATGACTCGTCACCACCTCATCTGCAAAAATAGCACAGCTCTTGTCAAGGACAGACAGAGATAAAAACAATCACTGCATATCCAATGGACCTATAAATCTCCTGTTTTTGCATTTTGCTCAGGTGACGCTGATCCTGAGCAAACACCAAACTGCTGACAGCTATACTTCTCTGCTTCTGTCGGTCCCCATGTCGACCAGGCAAGCACATAGCACGAGCCCTCCAGCGCAGACCTGATCTTTGGCCAATAGTTGTCATGGAAACAGCTTAATCTAATACCACAAAGCATGCCAAGTGAGTATGCCTGGACCCCCACTGAACTTCACAGCTGACATGTTTTTGGGACACTTGGCTTTGAGCAGCACAGGCTGTGACAAAACAAACCCAGTAGATGGCACTGGTGCACAGAAACAGCGCTGATCTGAGGAGGATGATCAAGCTTCTGCTGACGGCTTAAGTATCACTGTTTAAGCAATTTCCATCATCATCATCATCAACTGGCTAAGCTAACGATTAATTCTAACTCAATCATTAAGTGCTTATAAGGTGCTATAACAAGCATTTCCTCAATAAAAGCTTTATGTCAACAGGACATGGACTATTTTTGCAGCACAATTCAAATAAATTAGATGTGAATTAAATAAACAATGCTCTTGCTTGCTCTCAGTTAAGTAGGTACTTACTTAGCTTCGGCACAGGCTGGGTGTCCCAGAATTGGTACTTGTGCTTGGTTGCCTCATCGATGCTCTTCGCTGGACCCTGGCACGACAGAAGCTCCATGGCTCTTTGGATGTCCTGCAGCTTCTGAATGGGCAAGCCAGGATTCTACATAAGAAGGGAAGTGTACAGACACAACAACAATGACTGTGGGCCTTTAGTACTGAGACAGCATGAATTAATAGAAATGTAAAGATATATTGCAAGAAGGTAAGTTCGGTAAGATGAAAACTGAATCGTGGTATCGAGGCACAAAGACTTCAGTTTCACTTTTAAAAAGAGCAGGAAATGCATTGTTCTGCCGTTCTTCAGAAATAAAAAATGATCCTATTATTTGATGAAGAAAATATAACAAAAGATTTTTGTCTGAGAAAAAAAGGAATCTTTTACAGTCAAAATTTGTCTTTAATTCCTCATTTTGTTAAAGAAATTGTGAGAAATTTGTATCCTCAACCCAGTATTGTGAACTGTATCAAACCGTGAGTTCAGTCTTTCGTTACAACCTTATGAATTAACCTTTTCCTGCATGTGTGACATGAGATGCAGCGATATGAAACACGCAGTCTGCATATATCATCTGGCAAGAGACACAATGTCCTACAGGACTACATGACAACAGAGGGCATGTGTGAGATTTATACTCCATTCAGATAAAAAAAAAAAACCACTCCCTTCATATTGTACTGGTGCAGAGCTCAAACAACTGCTGAAACTCTTCAATAGGCAGCAAAATATATCATATTGTCTGGAATGAAAAACACGGGCGGGGCATCCTGTGTGTACAGCTATAACATAATAACACAACAGTTAAAAACCCACAACTAACTCTCCTTAATAGGACAACACACCATTAAAGTTAAGGTTGTTAGTATATATGTTTTATTTTTAAACTGTTTTTACCATGTTGCAGTTTGGACACTAAAAATTGTTTCAATTCTTTATATATTGTAAAATTAAATGTAAATTTTATGATTAAAATATTTTATTATATTCTACCCCTGACAAAATAAGCCATTACAAACCTGTATGAAGGCCCAGTCATGGTAATTAATTATACAGTGATTTACAGTGAAACCACCAGAATCTTAAAAAATGCAGTGATTCAAAATGTTGTTCATCCAGCACTACACACTAGTATCCCTGTGAGTCTTATCCTGGTTTTAGTCATTCTCAGGATATGACACATATAGTGGAGGACTGGAGGAGGTTTTTGTATTTCAATCTCTCAGCCACTCTGTCATTCACCATTCAGATTCATGTTTATTTTCCTTCATCTTATAAACAGAAATTAAAGACGGGAACAATTTAAATGGATCTTCTACATTGCTGACAGATCATCATAAGACTAACTACTAACACAAATCAAATACCTGGATAAGGTATATAAGTTGTAGGCCATGAGGAAAGACTAGGCAAGGGATCAGAGGTCTAAGGCACCCAGTGGCTTAACCAATGGCACAGAAGCAATAAGTGAGCAAGAGAGTTTGTTGGAAATGTTTAAGTGTCCTCTCATCTGCATGCCACATTGCCTCTTTCACAGCCATTGGCAGTTGCGCTCTCTGTCTGATCGAAGCACCATGTGGCTGTACATTTTAACTCAGATGTGGATGTTTTCATAAGGATTGGCAGCATTTTGTACGGTGCTCTGCAATGTAATTACAAATATTTTACCTTCTGTTAGAGATTTAAATGTTGGATGTGGTTAACTTCATGTTAATCTCAATGCTGAAAAACAAAAAAAAAAAAAAAAAAAGGCACTTCATATCAAAAAGGCCTCCCGGTCTAGGTTGGATAACCCTTACTGGCCCATTTACACTGTTGGCAAACAAACCATCATCTTTTATGTTGTTGCTACTGTGCTAAAGGACTATCCTGCGTATCCTCTCACATAATCCTATCAGGGCTGCACAATCAATCAAAATATTAGCAAAATTGCAATGTGTCCAAATGCAATATGCAAAAGGTCAACCGTGTGACAGAACAGCATCATAATGAAGCTCTAGACAGCGTGGCTTACAGGTTTGCTTAGTATAGACCAGAATAAATGTCATATCATTATGGTTTTTATACATTTCTTTCACTGAAAATCACATTTGACCATGCCTACATTAATTGTGAATCATAGAGCAATCACAATATCTGTGGAGTTAGTCGAATTGTGATGTTTTTACCACCTGGTGCAGCCCTACCTAACCCCTACTGACCCATTCACACTGATGGAAAACAAAACACATATTTTTTGTGGGGGTGTTGTTGCTTCTCTGCTAAAGGACTATCCTGCTCCCCCTGCTCCTAAGACCCAGTCTACCATCAGCCAAGTGTGACTCCAGTAGGTTAGTGGGTTTATGGTTTGGGGTTTTATCCCCTGTCATGAAGGGGGTCTGTGCACATTTCAATGGGTCATCATCGCACCTTGATCTCCTGAGAGTCAGAGGCAGAGTCGGACTTGGCTCCCCCCGAGCTTGGCTTCTCTTTCTTCCTCTTCTGCTTCTTCTTCTTCCTCTTGGCCCCCAGATCCCCCCCTGGACTCCTACAAATATGAACACAAACGCACACCATTGAACAGGGGCTGACTTTGTTTGTCTCACATTTTACACTCTCGACACACACACACACACACACACACACACATAAACACACATAAACACACAACCCAGCAGCAGCAGCAGCAGCAGCAGCAGCAGAGAGCTAATGTTAGCTACCATAGCAACGACTGACAGCTGAGCTAACCGACCGTTGGCTAACTAACGGTTTGTCTGAACGGTTGGCTGTCATCATGTCATTCAGTCGGGACGCTAGCTGGGAGTGACACATTTATTACGCGAAGGCAAGGCACGGTTAAAATAACACAAAATGGCATAAAATAAAAAATAATAAACAAAAAAAAAAAGGTTTCAAATCAGCACTTCTCCTGTGGTGACTAGCTTGACATGACGGGCCTTGTAGCAAACAGCCTGGCTCTGTTTGTGTCGGCTAACGGTTAGCTAACTGTGCTAGCGTGTGTGTACACACACACACACACACACACACACACAGGCTGCCTGAAACAACGTTACTGCGTTTCCCAACCGGACTGGACCAGGCCACCCTCACCCTTGCATATGCTCATTCTCCTCTTCGTTGTCTCCGTCTATCCCGCAGGTGTCCTGGTCGTCTAGCTCCAGGCTCTGCTGACTGGCCGCGGATTCACTGTCCTCCGCCATCATTAAAAAAATGTTTTTAAAAATTGCCAGCCGCCGTATGATAGAGATCACGGGCAGCGGGCGAGAGATGGAAAAACAAAGAAACTGCCGAAGGAAACCGCACCGCCTAGAGGCCAATGGAGGGAGCACAGAGCTGAACTCCTGCCTTTTAACATGAAATACAGCCCCGAATTAAACTGCTTTCTTTAGAGACAAACAGAGCTCTCCCCACTGACTGTATCCAGGTTTTCCATGTGTCAGTTTGTGGTAATATTATTACACATTTTAAACAATGTTGGTGGTGGTGTAAAGGTGGGTACACTGTATTTTTAATGGCCTGTCCACCAAAGGATAAACTCCCTACTCTTGCCTATTTAGCTCATCAAAAATGGGCCATTGTCACTTAACCTTTGCCGCTTGTGTTCAGGATCATTAGTTATGTGTCATAATATTTGCAGCCAATACTGGCCTACAGAATATAAATATAATATAAAATATAACAACTCTGTATTTTTAGTTAAATATTCCTTATCCTTTATTCCATCCATTCATGAAAATTGGACAACTGTGTCATGCACATAAGAGGGGATGTAGAAGTGGGTAATACCCAATGTCGACTATAAAATAAGTGTGTATACTACTCTGTGTAAACTCTGCACTACATTAATACAGGTCTTTAAAATACATGTTGACACAGGCCCCTCCACAAGACAGGATCATAACGTCAGGTAATATTGCAGAACTTGTCTTAGCTGATGTTGTACTTTAGTGGTGCAAATTCCTAAACTAATTTTAAATTAATTAAATTATAACAAACAACTGACACATAATGAATCTTGGATTTTGGGGTCCTCCAGTGCCCCAGGACAGTTGGTAATCCAACCTTGTTAAAAGATATTCTATATGTTGTATATTTATTTTACATTTTCTAAAATATGTAATTTTTAAAGCCAATTGGTAAGACCGTGGTTACCTTGTATGAAATATAACAAACACATTATAATAATGACAAAACCATGACAGAGGGAGAAAGTAATTCAAGAAGACATCTAATTTACATATAACTTTTGTGCAATCTAACTATGACAAAAAAATGAAAATAAACAGTTTGAGTGTTCAGATAGTACTTATCCTTTTAATAACACTATTTGTAATATGCTTTATAAAGACTGTGGCACATTAAGGTATTTTCTTAAAGATGTTTGATATTGCAGCGTTCAATCATAACAACCTGGTTCCTAAAGAAATACAATCTTAACAAAAGGGGGTTGAATGTGAACATACTGAGAGCATAGTTCTTTAATATTTGTTCAATACACAGACACACACACACAAATCAATCCAGTTTGGCTGTTTATTCAGAATAATAGGCTTCAAATATAATGCAAGCAACCAAGTTACACACTCAGGGTGCTGTATTGCAACTCCACGCTAGAACTGGAGGTTGCTGTGGGATACTAAGAGAGAAGAGGCCATTCACAACACCAACTCACACATCATTTTGACCAGGTAGAGGACAGGAAAGAACTATACACACTCTGTAATATGATTGCTATGACTATATGAACCTCGAATGAATGTATGTTGATTATTTCTCAGCGGTCTCGCACAAACATACAGTGTGACAACACAAACTCACAGCCAGCAGCAGATGAACACTACCACCAACCAAGGTGCACACGAACACAGTCGAGACAAACATTCACCCTCTGAAAACACAAAAAGAAGAAAACGCACTGAAGTGACCTGCAGTTTAGCTTCACATACAATCGCACTTAGCTTTATCTATCCCATGCTGCACTGAAAACTTCTGTAAATCCTTAACTGCTAAGAGAGATTGGTGTCTTGCTGATTACTGTAGAGGATTTTTTACGATTGCAGCAGCTGGTAGACATTTTCTGAGATGTCTGCAGTGTAGCTTGTAACACGCTAGTGCTGAGGAAAGTTTACTGCATGCTTTCTGTCACAGGTGGGAGAGAAAGAGAGGGTTGAGGTAGAGGAGAGAGGCAAAAGAAGGCGAGAAATAAATAAGGTAATCTGTTCCACAAATCTGTTGTAGAGTCAGGTTGTTCAAAGGCACTTGGAACATGAGGAAGTGGTAAAAAATAAAATAAAAATTAAGGTGAAAACACAGCATGCAAAAATAGTTTGGCTTCAGGTAAAACGTATGCAGTATGGATTTGTTTTTGTAGCTCTAACAATAAGGCGGGTGAAAAATAAAAGCCTTTAACATATTTGAAGAAATAAAATAGCCTATTTTCGGGTAAAATACTTCATGTTGGCAATTAAAATCATAGTGATTAAAATTACAAAAAAAGGCATCTCAAGCAGCCGTATAAAAGTGATGCATAGCCTTCAGAGCAAAAAATATGCCAGTCAGTGGTTCAACAATTACAAAACCCTTCATATATATATATATCACACCTCACAATTATTTTTGGGTGGAACTACAGTTTCGTAGTGGTATTATATTCTTAACCACCAGCATAGTGGTGTGTCACATTATCTGATTATGTTGCAGTGCGGATAGTGGTTTAATTTCTTCAGTCCAAAAACTTCATCCCCTGCATAGATCATGTGAAAACACCCATGCAGCCTTTCGACGGGCCAGATTAAATTCTAGCAACCATTCAAAGAACAGGACTACAGGAAATCAAAAGCCTTATTAGTGCGTTTCTACACAAGAATCAAACCCTAACTGTGAAAAGAGTAGAATCACTTAACGTATTTTGCACAGATGCTCCACAACCTGAAAAATCTGTCAGAATTGCTAAATTAGGGTCATAATGTCGCCAGTTCTTTAGTCAGTGGACTGAGGGCCAATATGGCTCGAGAAAAAAGGCTCCTGTAGTCTTTCATTTGTGAGAACCACCCAACATCTGTTTCTACTACAGTTCCTTTATGCTTACAAGGCTATTTATAAAAAAAAAAAGGCATATATTTGTTGTGCATAAAATATTCTAATTTCTTGCCTCCAAAGTCCATTTGTCTCCCTCAGGCCATGTGTACATCGTGCACGATGAGTGGTCTGTTTACGTGGGGTGTGGTGAGGAGGACAAAGTGGAGGACAACAGTGGTCATTTCATAAAGGGGACCTGGAAGTTCATGAAGGATCTGAATCATCCCTTCATGTTCGGGACTAGAAGGGATCCCAGTGCTGAAATATTTTCTCAGTGCTATGTTAAGAAAAAAAAAGGGCTTCATTTTAAATGGTCTTATACTTCACGTTAAGGTCGGGCAAACTCGTCGTTAAAGGATAAGCTCACATTTTCCAAGTCTATCTCAAAACAAAACTGAGATGTCCGTATGTACAATGAAACGGTTTTGGCCACCAAAATTATTCTTCTTGTCTTTACCAGCAGCAAAGAGATTCCTCCTAAAGTTAGTTCAATGTAAGAGACGGAGGGGAAAATCCAAAAGCCTCGTTCTGTGTAGAAATCTTTCAATAAAGTTCAGCTGAAGTTACTATCTGTCTCAAGTTATAGTCTTTTTAGGATAAAACTCCCTCTTTGTGCTCTCATACATTTAATGTGTGTAGATTTGGTGTATAGTTGTTCCTCATTTATGCAACTCAAATGAAGCACCGTGCTATATCGGTACAGGAAAATACACAGTATCTATTAGACCTGCATTAACCATACACAGGACATTACCAGGCACGTTTATTCACTGGAGATAATGATATCAGGAAGTGTATGTGACAGTGAGTCTAAAAATATATGTAATATGTGTGCCTGTTAGTTAGTATGATTTCGACTCAAATTGTGGCATTTTACCTCACACAGTATCTTCACATCTCTCCCTTCAGCTGAACTTCAGAGTTAATTTTTGCACCGAACGAGGACCCATCACTTATATTGAAATCGCTTTAAGAAAAGCGAGTATGTACAAGAGGAACGCTTTTAATGTAGATATGGACATATTCTATTATGAGAAAATGTGAGCCTGTCCTTTAAGTGGTCTTCTGTGGATCATTTAAGGTTGAAGGCCAGCAGAGGTCGCTCCTCTCTCCTCTGCCAGGGACTCTTCTTCTCCTCCTCTCCATCCTCGTGTGCTGCATCGTCGACAGGAGAGACTGACAGCAGTGCATGATCAGTCCTGAAAGTCTCTTCTTCTGGTGTTGGCAGGGGAGGAGGAGAAGAAGGGGATGAAGAGGAAAGTGAGGGTGGTTCCTCTTGTATGTGTACCCCCTCCACTCTTTTCCCCTCCACGGTCTCCTGCCCCTGATCCCCGCTCTGCCCCTCCGCTTTGTCTGACAGGATGGATCCTGTTTTACTGTCCTGTGGGCTGCTCTTAGGCGTCTCCTCCTCGCTGCCTCCTCCATCCAGATCATCCACATACACGAGCTGAGTGTACGCCATGGCAGGTGTTGTGCCCTTCGACCTGTCTTTCTCAATCTCCCTTTCCTCCCGCTCTCCGTCTCTCCCCCTGCGGGCAGCTCTTGGCTCGTTCAGGTCCACGCCAGAGTCCAGACTGGCATCGTTGCCGTTGCCACGCCTCCCACCGCTGCTATTACCTGGTTGACCTCCTCCACTTGGCGAGTTGCCGTGGCACCCTGCCCGCTGGAGGTCAATGTAGGAGTGGCGAATATGAGCGTTGGAGCGTCCATCAAGTGAGACAAACCAGGCTCGCGGGTGAGGAAGAGGCTTCCCTCCTCTTAGCTCCATTAAAGTCTTTTCAGCCAACAAGGTGTCCTCACTGTTTATTTCCACCAGACCCGTTTCCCCAAGTGCTGCTGGGATAGACAAAGACTCCGACAGGCCACGATGCTCTCCGTCAACCTGCTTGGTGGGACCTGGGGTGCAGTCGGTGGGGGTTTGCCCCAGGGGCTGTTGGGAATGTGAGGCATTGAGCTCGGCCTGGATGGTCTCCAAGTCACTCTGCTGGTCAGTCTGCAGCAGGAGGGCCTGACCAGACAGAGGGTGCTCCCCAGGGAGGCGCATGTAGTGTGCTGGGATCACCAGTGTGGGACGCACCCTCGGGTAGCCTTCTCCTCCACTCAGGAGGTCCACAGAGCCGCAGCAGAGCAGCTGACCGGGTCGAGTAAGCGACGGGAGACTGGGACGCTCCAGGTGGTCCACAGAGCGGGACAGAAGGTAGTCCGTAGCTCTGCACTCA